CTCCATTCTTGACCCCGTTCGCGCCATCGCCGCCCGCTTCTCCGCTGGACAACAGCCTTCTGCCTCAGTACGTCGTCGTTGTGTCTCGAATCAAATACTAACTAATAAACGTGTATTAATTAATTAATACACATTTCTGATGTTAATACGTATGTGCATTTCGCAGGAGGATGAGGAGTGCCCGGACAGAGGGGAGCTCGTGCGATCCACGGACAAGCATGTATAAAATTAATTAGTTAATTTGATTGTAAATAAAACTAAGTAATTAAATTGATTGTAAAAATGGAGATGCATGGATGGATGGTGTAGGAGAGGGAGTTCATGGAGAGGGCGGACGAGGAGCTGGAGAAGGTGAACGCGTTCTACACGGGGCAGGAGGCGGAGCTGCTGGCGCGCGGCGACGCGCTGCTGGAGCAGCTCCGGATCCTCGCCGACGTCAAGCGCATCCTCGCCGACCACGCCGCCGCCCGCCGCGCCCGCGGCCTCGCCCGAAGCCGCTCTATGCCGCCGCCGCCGCCGTCCTCCTCGCCGCCGTCGTCGGTGCACGGCTCCAGCGGCCGCTACCTCCTCTCCGGCCTCTCCTCGCCGCAGTCCATGTCAGGTAGGTGACACCAACCACCCACACACATGAATCCTGGGCTAGCTGCACATCTCTTTATGCATGCAATGTCATGTCATGTCGATGTCGCCGTCGTCGTCGTCGATGGCGTGTTTTGCAGATGGGAGCCTGGAGTTGCAGCAGGCGCAGGTGTCGGAGGGCGCGGCGGTGGCGGACGAGGTGATGGCGGCGCTGGAGCGGAACGGCGTCAGCTTCGTGGGGCTCGCCGGGAAGAAGGACGGCAAGACCAAGGACGGCAGCGGCAAAGGGCGGGGCGGCGGCGGCGGCGGAGGCGGAGGCGTGCTGCAGCTGCCAGCGACGGTGAGGATCGACATCCCGGCGACGAGCCCCGGGCGGGCGGCGCTCAAGGTGTGGGAGGAGCTCGTGAACGTGCTCCGCAAGGACGGCGCCGACCCCGCCGCGGCGTTCGTCCACCGGAAGAAGATCCAGCACGCCGAGAAGAACATCCGCGACGCCTTCATGGCGCTCTACCGCGGCCTCGAGCTGCTCAAGAAATTCAGGCACATCTTCCCTCTTCATCTTTCCTTTTTGCCATATCTGACAAGCTAAAACCACGAAGTCACGGTATTTTAGAACAAGACTTGCCTTTTGTGTCTATGTATATTGTCTTCTATGCCATGCATGATGCATATATATACGCATTTGTAAGCTATTTAGAATTCTGATGGCCAAACCTCACACTAATAGCATGCAACTGATCGATCACACTAATTGCATGCACACAAATGATATAGATAGTTTGGTTAACTGACCAACTAGGAAAAAAAAATTAAGTTGTTTCTTCATAGATGTATATCTAACAAATTACTACTATGAATATTAGTTGCAGCATGAGTCATGGAGCACTGTGTGAGCAGCACACAACTACACCTGCACTGCACCCAAGCATGCAGTACAGTAGTAGTTTAGTCAAATTTCAACCCCGTTTTGCATGGAAGCATCCGTGTAAATCACGTAGCCATCCATACACCATCCTGTGTCACCTGAAAGCGACTGTTTCTCCTTTCAAATTACTAATTCTTTTGTGGTTTTTGAAAAGGTAGATTAATTCACCGGTTATTTTAGGTGGCTGTCTTTATATTTCTTTTACTTGTCAATTATGGTGTTCTTGTGGTTCTGACGGATTTGGATGCTTTTTTGGTTGCATGCATGGATGGATGGGAGCAGCTCTCTCAATGTAAAGGCTTTCACCAAAATATTGAAGAAATTTGTCAAGGTAATATACTAATTAGCCACATCTGTGCCCTTTTGAAATGGATGGATGGAAGAATGAAGAGTCTAAATAATAGATGATAAAGATTAAAGAAAACCGGTCTACATATATAAGGCTTCTAGGAGAATAAAGTTCTAAGTGTACTATTAGTAGTTTAGTACCCTCAAAGCAGAGGTACTAGATCTCATTCTCGACAGTGTAATCCTAGTCACTAGTCAGCCTAATAACATGAGACAGCATAAACATTTTCTTGCAAGGAATAATTTAATTTTTTAATATATTTTTTTAAAAAAATGCTACTCCGAGCTGACAGTGACTGGTACGAACTGCTTTGCATTTCAGGTGTCCGAGCAACAGCGAGCTACAGACCTGTTTTCAGAGAAGGTGAAGAGGTCGCCATTTAGCAGCTCCGACAAGGTATCATCTGGTGCTCCACAATCCTACTGCAAAGCTGCACAAACATACAAATTCACTTCAATCAGTTTTTTGGGGGATGGAAACATGTCTCTCTGACGAATATGAACTGAAGCATGCGAAATTCTGAACAGGTACTTCAGCTAGCAGATGAGGTCGAGTGCATCTTCATGAAGCATTTCACAGGCAATGACAGGAAGGTGGCGATGAAATACCTTAAGCCACAGCAGCCCAGAAACACTCACATGATCACCTTCCTCGTAGGCATGTAGCTGAGCAACTTCAAGATCAGAATATCAGATCTGTCATCTGCATTTGGCACACAAATCTAACTTCACTTCTTCTTTTTTTTCATGTTCTAATTTGCAGGTTTGTTCACGGGCACTTTTGTTTCACTGTTCATCATATACGCGATTTTAGCCCATGTTAGTGGTATTTTTACTTCCACTGGGAACTCAGCCTACATGGAAATTGTGTACCATGTTTTCAGGTAAATTCTTGAGAATTACGGTTCAGTTCTAGGGGTAAAGCACTATTTAGAAATAGATTTTTTATTACTGCGTTTGTACTTGGTACTTCTGTTCAGGCTATATATGCTCTGTTCTTGACAAGAGTTCAATTGATTAGATTTAGCATGTGGGCTCAATGTTTGCAAATTTTTCAAATTTCAGACTTAGGACCTCATGATAATAAAAGATGCAATTTTACCTCAAAGTAATGTATAGATGTGACCTTGCTTCTGCAGCATGTTTGCTCTCATCAGCCTCCACATCTTCCTGTATGGGTGCAACCTCTTCATGTGGAAGAACACAAGGATCAATCACAACTTCATATTCGATTTCTCCTCAAACACCGCCTTGACGCACCGGGACGCCTTCCTCATGTCTGCATCGATAATGTGCACTGTTGTCGCTGCACTGGTCATCAATCTTTTCCTCAAGAACGCCGGTGTAGCCTATGCCAATGCTTTGCCTGGAGCACTCCTACTAGTAAGAAACATAAACTTTGGGAAAATTTGGTAATTCAGCTCTGTTTCATGTACTGATTTTCAGTTCTCAACTCGGATTCTGTTGTTTCAGCTGTCAACAGGTGTACTATTCTGTCCATTTGACATATTCTACCGCTCGACGCGATACTGCTTCATGCGTGTCATGCGCAATATCATATTTTCACCATTCTATAAGGTAAAGACTAAAGACCTCATGAGTTTTCTTATCACAAATTGTTGAAAGCATCTATCTGATAAGCAGGCTGCTTTGACATGCAGGTTCTGATGGCTGATTTCTTCATGGCTGACCAACTAACTAGCCAGGTAATACTGAAGAAACTGAACTTTACACTAGAGCTTTTGAGAGTTGGAGCTCAGCATCTTATGAGTGAACTGGTGCTACTATCTGCAGATTCCACTATTACGGCACATGGAATTTACAGCGTGCTACTTCATGGCTGGAAGCTTTAGAACTCACCCATATGAGACCTGTACTAGTGGCCAACAATATAAGCATCTGGCCTATGTGATCTCCTTTCTCCCATACTTCTGGAGAGCCTTGCAGGTATGAATCTTTAGATGGGAAATACTAACGATTAACAACTTTGTTTGGATCAGTTTCAAACTAATAGCTGTGTCATGTTTTGAAGTGTTTAAGAAGGTACTTGGAGGAAGGACATGATATCAACCAACTTGCTAATGCTGGAAAATATGTATCAGCAATGGTAGCAGCTGCTGTTAGGTTCAAATATGCTGCAACACCAACACCATTCTGGGTGTGGATGGTCATCATTTCATCCTCAGGTGCCACAATTTACCAGCTCTACTGGGACTTTGTCAAGGACTGGGGCTTCTTAAACCCAAAATCAAAGAACCGATGGCTTCGTAACGAGCTCATCTTGAAGAATAAATCAATCTACTACGTATCCATGGTACTATGCTTAATATACTTCATTTCTGACTAGGCTAGAAAATTCCAGATCTAGGACACTAATGCCTTCAAATAATTACAGATGCTCAATCTTGCACTTCGCCTAGCATGGACTGAGAGTGTAATGAAGATCCATATTGGTAAGGTTGAGTCGCGCTTACTGGATTTCTCGCTCGCTTCACTAGAGATAATCAGACGAGGCCATTGGAACTTCTATAGGTAATTGGAAGTACTTTTACAAGGAACATCAATTTTAATTTAATGTTATGGTGTAACATGGTGAAATGGTTTATGGGATTGCAGATTGGAGAATGAACATTTGAACAACGTTGGCAAGTTCAGAGCAGTGAAGACTGTCCCATTACCATTCCGTGAACTTGAAACTGATTGATTAAGCAGTAGGACATGCCGGCATGCTGCCAACATCAAGGCCAGTAAGGATCAGAGTTCCAGGAATGGAGATGCTGCTTGCCGCTAGATTTGGTACATAAGTGGTAATAAAGTTTGCAGAGACCATTGGTGCACAAGACCATGATGTTGCTGATTAGGATGGAATAAGCTTAAATCAGAGCAGCTAATCGAGGCAGTTCGTCAAAAAAGAAGGAATAATCCCTTCTTGGTCCGATGAAGATTGTTGGGCGTCATTTCGCTAACAAGATCTTAATTTTGTTTATGGTTGTGTTATGTATGTATCTGGAGATGGATGCCCACCCTCCAAAAAAAATATTCCATGAATTCATATGCACCATTGCATCAAACTGAATTCAAATAATTTGCCGATAAACAAAATAAGTAAGATGTCAATGTTAGAGAAGGAAATAAGAACACAATGGGGTAAAATAAACATGCAATAGATATTAATTAACTGAAGGGGAAGAAACCCAATCATTTCTGCTAATACAGTGAAAGCAAGATGCTTGGCACTACAGATGACTAAATAAGCTAAAGCATAAACATAGTACAAATATATTACATGTCGATCACATGATGCACACGATAAATAGATAGCTATGACAGATACCTCCATTGTGCTGGACGGTCTCTTGAGACAAGAAGAACCCTTGATGACGAGTAATCGAATGTAGGGCAGTACAAATCATCAAAGCCAATAGCCTCTCTTACTCCAAGAGTGGCTCCACGGTCAAAGCTGTAAGTTTGTTGACCGTCCTCCTTAAAGGCGTCAAATGCAAATAGTCCCATACCACATGCAGCCAAGACAAGGTTGGAGTTGCCCCATACTTGGGTTATTGAAGAGTGATGGAAGTGGGCATTGAAATCAGGTAGCTCATAGGTTGCAACAAGCTTTCCCTTTCTCAGTGAATATTGCTGAACTCGTGATTTCAGACCCCCTTTTATTTGCAGCCTACCTTCTGTGCTCCCAATGAATACCGAGTCACCACGTGAGAAGATTGAACTTGCTGTACCACCATGTCTTGCCATTTTAAGACCGATGCCAGCAGGTACACGAAAGTCAAATACATTAACACTTTCTTGTGTGCTAAAAACACCATCATTTCCCTCCACCTCACAGGAACTAACTCTGCAAAACAGAACGATAAACAAGTTAACTTTGAAAACATGTCAGCTCACACAAAACAGAACTTACATCTCCTTTAGATTAGTTACATTTCCAAGTTTCAGAATCATCAATGATCAAGACAAAAAAAAATCAGCTATTGGTAAATGAACTAAAAAATCCTGCATTTGCAAGCATAAGCCAAGTTCAACCAGACAGGATCTAGTATAGTGTTACCAATGGTACACAAAGGGCATTCAAGCTAATAATTCCAGGCGTACCTTTGACGAACTCCTCCGCCCAGCTCTGCATCAGTGTTGTTCACATGAAGGCAGTAAAGCTTTTTGCCAGCAGAAGCAACAGATAACAGGGGTTGTGGGTTAAGCGAATTAACATCCCACAACCCAATCGACTCAGTACCAGCAATTACAACCTTGCCCCTGCTACGCCATTGTAGTGGGCTGGAATATTCCATTCCCTGTACAGGATTGCTCACTTCCCATTTCATCACTACATCACCATCTCGGATGTCATAAGCTGTGACCATCTTTTGCTTACTAGCAGCAGAAAGCAGGAGAGGCCCACAGGGTCTATACCACCATTGCTGTCTTTCTACAGTAGAAATTGCAGAGCTAGATCTTGATGAACCTACATTAGGAAGAGGCCCAAGAACAGTTCTGGACGATGGTACTGAAGAAGCATGAGATATCTCCTCAATGTGAAATGCTTTTGCTTCTCTGCTATAGTAATCCCAGCTGCAAAACCCAGGGTCCAGTGCATTGCCAGCTGATGCCGCAACTACATATCTTCCTGAGCATCCGTCAACACCCGGGGCACGGATCAACCAGCAATCACCCCACATATTATTTGAGATCACACTCGGAGGCTTGTATTCAGACTTGAACTGTCATTTTCAGTTTAATGCAATCAGAACTTCAAAATGTTGTATTAACATAAATTATGAAAAGAACAAAAAGAAAACATAGTAATGAATCAAGTACCTCGCGGTTTGCAATATCATAGTAAGAACAGGTACCATCTCCATGAGCAAGAAGAACAGCTTCCCCCTCTGAAACAAACCATCCACCAGTTGAGGATTTGTTCCCTATCCCTAATAACTGATCACTAGAGAATTCCTCTGTTTCCTCCTGTAAAATCAAAAAGGACTTGTTCTCCTGTTCATCAAACTCTTCTAGCTTCTCTGTAGCAAGCAATTCAATTTCTTTGTCATGGTTTGGGCCTACCGGATTATTTGAGGAACCTTGGCCCGATGTCTTGCTGCTAACATCTGCTGCTTCACAGATGATGGTTTTTTCCAAGTTCTTCGCTCTGCGGTTCTTGAAGAAGCCGCTTTCTTCACCATCTAAGGAAGCCAGAAACTCCATGGCTATACTATTCTCATCTTCTTGAGGCTCAAGGGAAGAAAGTTCCATATCTGTGTTACAATCCTTTTTGACAGCCATGGACGATTCCTGTTGAGTAGCGCTAGACGATTTGCAGTCTCTCAACAATTTATGATGTGGAAAGAACCTCGCCTCTAATTCATCAGTATTCATACCTTTTGCAGCATGCTTCGGGTCACTTGGCTTTGTAACAGCACACTCTGCAGCCTTTTTAGCATAAGAGATCTCACACTCACTATTATCTGCAGTGCCGAGCTGAATCTTATTATCATCCTTGACATGGGAAATTGCCTTCTCAATTGCAGTAATCTCCTTCTGGATATTAGATAATATCTGCTTAGGCTCATCCGGGTTATTCTCATCCAGCATCTCTTTGGTCTTCTTGATATCTGTCGCTATCTTTTGGACTCTCCCTTCCAATGCAGCTAGTTTCTCATGCAGCTTGCTTGGGTACTTGTTCAAACTAGAAACAGATTTCACTGATCCCCCACTTGCAGACGCTTTCTCAAAAACTCTAATCTTGTCTGCCAGCTTGCTCTTTTCCTCCTGCTTCTTAGGCTCATCAGTATTCTTCTGCTCTTCCCTGGCTCTGCAAGGAACATCGTCCACGTCCACCACATGGACAGTGAATACAGGGATGACAGCATTGTTGCCTCCGTCACCATCCTTCTCAGTAGCAGGAAAAGGTGCAGGTTTGGAAGAAGCTTCTGCCGAACCAGTGACACTAGAGATAACTTTCTTGGGATGAATCTCTTTCACCAATTTCGTATCAAATCCATCTTTCTTCTTATTGATTTCGTCACCTAGCCTGGCCTTCACATCAAAGCCCTCATTGTCGCCATCAATCCCATCGCATTGCTTCTTTGCGTTGGTGCCAAAGCCCTCTCTTTCCCCTTTGATCTCATCACATTGCTTGGTCACATTAACATCGAAGCTCCCTCTTTTCCCACTGATCTGCTTCGCCTTTACATCGAAGCTCTCTCTTTTCCTATCAACCGCATTCATTTGCTTAGCCTTACCATCAAAGCCTTCTCTTCTCCCACTGGTCACATCACTCGCCTTCGCCCTAGCATCAAACCCATCCCTCCTCCTACCAATCTCATCAGCACGAGGCACGCTGCTTGCTCTCCTCGCATCCGGGACCCTACCCCCAACGCCACCCACCGACCTCCTCGCTCTCTCCGGGGCAGCGGCCCTGATCCCGCCGCTCACGCTCCGCCGCAAGCCCGCCTCCGCCTCCATTTCCTTCCCGACAGATGCCCTCCCCGGCATCACCGAGGACGCCCTGAGGGTGGAGACGAGCTTGGAGGACTCCACGGAGCTCGGGATCCTGCTGGCCCTCGGGATCGACGACGTGGACCACCGCACCGCGGCGGTGGGCTTGGAGGGCTTGGACGCCGAGTTCTCCTTCCCGGCAGCGGCGGCGGCGGGGGTGCGGCGAGCGGACGACGAGGCGGAGAAGGCCTTGGGGGTGAGCGGGCGGGATCCCGCGGCGGCGGGTGCGGCCTTGCCGCGGTCCTTGATGCGGGAGGCCATGGCGATGGTAGGGTTAGGGTTTGGGGGGATCTGGGGGAAGACGAGAGGGAGAGGGAGATGGTTTGCGAGATTTTGGGGAAGGAATGGTTTGATTTGGGAATTTTACGACCGGGAGAAGCGTTTCAAATTTCGAAATGTTTCGAGCGCGAGGCCCTGTGGCTGTGGGCCCAGGCGGCATGGGTACACCGAAAAGCGCTGGGGCCGCATTAGGTGGGGCCCGCTTTGTCAGTGACCGACCAGTTCTGTTCTCTTGTTGGGCTAAGGCCCGTGACTCGGCCCAAGTGATGAGCTTCTAAGGGCCCGTTCGTTTGCCTCCCATTGAAGGAGAATTTTAAGCACACGCAAAACAGTAAATCTCATAAGCATATAATTAATTAATTATTAATATTCTCTTCGTCCCAATATAAGTGCACATAATACAGGATATCCTAGTAGAATATACTAATATAAGTGCACCTAATACAGATTATTATAAACTTGAATAATAGAGTTATTTTCAGTTTTTAAAATAACTTTTATATATAGGAATTGTTTAAGAATGTATATTTTAACATATTGAAAAACATGCTAATAGAAAATGAGGAAGTTTGAAGTTGAAAAAAAAAACAGGGTCTAATGGTAAGGATTGTAGCGTCTCTTTCAGCGTAATCCAGCTGGTTGGACCTCTAATTCTGGCATTCAACCTTGTTTTCCCCTTAACTATTCGCTCTAAACAAGCCCTCAAGCTGATAGCGTAGCTTACCAACCGGCAAAATCCCAAACTGTGTGTGGCCATAATAACCTCATTTGAAGAGAGAGACTGCTACCAAATGATGACATCTGATCGACAGTAAGCTGCATGATCTTTCACAATCATATAACATCCTTTCAATCCATCAACTATGAGTTTTGTACATTTCTGCATCGCAGGGTTTCGCTCTCAACAGCAGACTGTAAATGATCTGCTTAGCCTCAATGAGAGCACCACAATTACTCTGCTTTGAAACACAATAAGCTACAGCAAGTTATAGCAGCTGTACTAATTAAGTACCAACAGAAAGCAAGATAACGTCTCTGGCAAGCATAAGATGTCCAGTTTCCTTGGAAACAAAGCGAAGAGAAGAGGGACAGCAGCAGTCATAAGCAAGCATGTGCATTGAGCTTCCTCTTTGCGAGAAAATCACTGCCAGATTCGAGGGTTTTCGTACAACAGGAGGGGAAGTGCTACAGCTAAAAAGCCCCCCACAAAACACATCTTTAACAACAACAGGGCCGTATCATCATGATCATCAAACATACATCCAGCTGGAAGAAGAAAATAAGGGGGCAAAAAATAGAATTGAATTACAGATTAGCGGGGTATATAGCCATCCTGTACTTCCTCGAGGAGATCCAATCAACTACGCGTTCTCCAGAGCACATTATCAATCTATGCTGTCAGGTGCGCAGCACAGCTGACATCAACATCTAACATCTCTGAATGAAAGGTGACCTGCTATGTGGCGAAACTTTTTTACTCCTCAAAGCCATCCATCATCGGGTGACCTCCTTCCGACGAGGTGCTTTTCGATGATTGTTTCCGAGTTGAGCCCCGCCTGTTCTTGGCTTTCTTTGCCTTCATCCTCCGTTTCTTCTCGTTGGCATCAACCCAGGTGTAGTCAGAAGGTATTTGGAATGGATCAACCTCATCTTTCCAGTTACGGCTATCACCACTATCACTGGACTGTGCACCACGCCCCCCTCTAACCCACGAATACCATGAGCCTGATCCTTCTGATTCTTTGCCCTTGGCATCCTGGAATTGCGTTGGGCTTGAGGGTGGGGTAGCAAACTCATCCAAAGGTTGTAATTCCTCAAACTTTGTGAATGTCACGATGACTCGTATTGTTGGAACAATAGGTATCGCAATCTGAAAATCAATGTTACAGAGAGTTAGATATCATCTTTTCCAAAATATAGATTAATTCATGTGAATCTCATTTTCGAAGTAACTGTAGTGATGTTAATTTTGGTAAAAGAAGAGATCTGATTTCAAATTTGAGACTATGTGAAATAATAATTATGATGCAGTGCAAACGTCTTGTACTGGCACCACAATGCCTTATCCAACAAGAACTAAGATTCAAAACAAATGATGAGATTCCAAAAAAGTTACAACAAAATGAAACGATTCAGATTGCTATGCACATTGAGACAAGACATCTGTACCAATTTAGAAACAATAAAGCATGGCAACAAAACATGGAAAGCGGTAAAAATAGTCTAATAATGCAATGGAAAAATTACTGCAGCATTCACCAAAGAAAAGATGACACATGAAATAACATTTGACAGGAAGAGTGGTCACAAGATGTCGATGGATCATCAACTGCATTTAGGGATACAAGGTCAGTAGGGTACAGGGGGGCATCAGTTTTATGGTGGTTTGGAGTAGGACCCAGCTAATCAAGACTCAAACAGAGGAAGAGATAGAGTGGATGAATAGGAAATAAACATATGAAAGTTTTGAAAGCTTCAATGGATATATTTTTTTGGCATTTCTTAAATCTGTGAGATTATTAAATTGATGGTGGGAGCAGAAACCCACTGGCTACTTTTAAAGTTAATTAACACCACATAAAAGAAATGGCAAACAGACAAATAGAAATATACAATATATTTGTACTAGATTCAATAACTCGATAGTGTTCCATGTCCATATAAAGTTTAATACAACAAGGAAAAAAAATGTCATCAACCATCATGCATCAAATCCTTAGAAATAGTCAATGATATTTTGCAAGTACACTGCACATTTATCATTTACACCCAAATATAATATCTATTATTGGAATCTAATTATTCCATATGGGTGGCCAATAGTAGTGGTAACTAATAGAAAAGGTTTGGTTATTCGAACATCCATCAATCATATGAATTGTGCACATGGCGGGCACCACATCTTATGATAATGCCTTGTTAGTGCGAGGGATTGATTACCCGGGAGGACACACATAAGATGTGCTAGTTCTAGAACTTGAACAGAACTATCTTGTATTAATATGTCCGGTCTAAAGGGAAAAAAACCACATGCATAGCCATAAGCCGCGCATCAGCGCCAACAATAAAGAAACACATATTCATAATTTCATATTCAAGCACATGTCATAACCAGGTTCAAACAGTACTATGCACAAGCAGCAAGGCAGACAGCACAAGTCCCAGCTAGGGAGTGAATTACGACGCATGACACAGCAGGTGGATCAAACAACAAACACTGGCAGTCAAAGAAACCAGTGCAAAATAATTGCTCATACAATCAGCAAACAGTCGTTGATTGAGTTACATAGAATCATATCACCATTTATGTTGCAAATGAATAAGCGTGCAAATTTTGACTAAAATGAATGGCATATCAAAAATTCAGTTAATTGCTGAAATAGGTGGACATTATATAGTCAAGTTGGCAGGTGGTTACCTTCACCGGAAATGTGCCTGGAGGCAGTTTAGTAGTCAAGAGTTCCCTAAGCCTTCTGACAGCTTTCACTTTGTTTGCTAAGACATCAAGCAGAGGGATCAGTTCATCCGTCTTCAAAGGGAAATCTGGTGTCAGCCACAACACTGGTCTTAACCCCTTCTTGTATTCACTTTCATGTTTAGTAGAATCCCCTGATGATGCACCCTTCTTCTTCTTGCTGCTGTTCTTCTCCTTTCCCTTTCCTAGGTCACCTGATTCATCCTTACTCCCTTGATTCGCCTTGGATGGTTTCTCGTCATTCTTGGTGCCTTTCTTGCCACCCCAACCAAACCATCCCTTCTTATCTTTTGCCACGCCATTTGCATCCAAATGATCAGCCCCGCCATCACCTTCCTCGCACCTCTCCTCAAATTCTTCTTCCTGGTTCCCCATTCTCAACGCAGAATCAAGCTGTTTCCTCTCTTCGGCTGTCAACACTTCATCCAGCTCCGCGTCAAGTTCAGTGCCCCTCCCATTCTTCTCCTCCCCCTCCATCGCAAACAGCTCCTCATCTGTCATCGCCCCCGGCACACGCCTTGACTTCACAGTCACCAGAACGTTTAACATATCATAAACCTTAGCTTTCCAATGTCCAACGGCTTCCGTCCTCTCCTGCCGGCGCCAATTCAAATGAGGCACAAGCTCTGCCTGCGTCACGTCGATCCCGGGACGATACATGTTCGTCTTTGACATCAACGCCACCTCATGTGCGACCTCGGCCTCCGTTGGTTGCACCCCTGCTCCCTCCAATGCATCTGTGATCTCCTTGTCCTTATGAGCCAGCACTATGAGAGAACCTGGGTGCAACTCTTTGCCCCCAGCATCCTCAGGACGAGCACCATCCCCGAGAAACAAGAAGGTCTGGTCCGAACGCTGGATGCGGAAGCCGTCGAAGCCGGCAAGCGTCATGTCGGCACGCAGCGCAGCTCCACGCTTCCAAATGCGGTAAGTGTCGGAGGGGGCGATGCGGCCGATGAAGGGTATGACGGAGGACTCGAAGTGGAAGGAGATCTCCATGTAGAAGTCTCGGATGCGGTTGATGGAGGCGAGGACGCGCGGGAGGCGGCGGCACCACTTGGCCCAGGCGAGGGGCTGGTAGTGGCGCGCGATGATGGTGGCGATGGCGTCCTCCCGCGTGCAGACGGCCTCCTGGAGCGCGGACCACCCGTCGGCGTTCTGGAGCGACCAGTCGGCGCCGGCGGACATGAGGATGTCGGCGGCGACGGGGTCGCGGAGCCGCACGGCGAGGTGGAGCGGGGTCTCCCTCCGCGGCACGTCGCGGCGGTCGATGGCGGCGGAGACCGCGTCGGCCACGGCCTCGCCGGCGATGGACTCCTCCTCGGTGGCCACCTCCCCGGCGCGCGGGAGGCGCGGGAGCCCCGCGACCAGGCGGCGGAGCGAGGCGTGGTCCCGCCGCACCACGGCGAGGTGGGCCGGGCTGTGCGCGTACTTGGACGCGTCCTCCATGCCCCCACCCCGTCGCTCGGCGCTAGGTCAGGGCGGATCTAGGCCGAGCTGGGCGGCATGTGGCCCAGATCTGGCTCGCCGAGGTCGGCCTCGGGATCCGCCCCCTCCTCCCGCGGCGGCGGTGACGACGGCGCGGGGGGGAGAAGGGAGGGAGGGGAATCGCGGCGCGGCGGAGGGAGACTGGAGAGGAGGGAGGGGGGAAGTGGTCCTCCTGTTCGCGCGATGTCTCGCTGTATTTTTCTTTTTTCTCCTCTCTCTGTGTCTGCGTCTCGCCCTCCTGCTGTATCGAGACTTTGCCTGCGTGTGCTCTAGATTGGCGCCTCCTTCCCTCCCTCCACTGTGTGTTTGTGTGGGTGATCTTGGGGGGGTTTGGTTTGGTTTGGTGGTGTCATGGGCTCGGGTGATCATTTCATGGTCGCCAGGACAGTTTGTTTTGTGAGCTAAGTAAGTTGCGGTTGATGATGTTTTCTCTTGGTGCAAACATCATTGGTTAAATGGTTAGGTAAGTAACGGGTGTGATTTTCTTTTGAGAAACACAGTACAATCGTTGGTGCTTATAACACACGCATACGCATACGCATACCCTGTCTCTATGAGTATATCCACGAGGCTGGGCCGGTATATCTTAAAATTGATGAAACCAGGGTTTGAAATTTCGGTTCGAAATTTCTGAAATTTTGGTAACTTCGCCCCACCCCCCCCCCCCCCCCCCGGCAAGCTCACATCTTGCCCGAAATTTTCAGTTTTTTGTAATTTTTTTTTAATTTGATCAGGTTTTATTCAAATTAATTCAAAATCAATCAAATTTTCAAATAATTTCGGCAAACAAATTTCTAAAATTCCGGTCCCCACCGGCAACAAAACCAATTCCAAAATTTCAAAGCTTGTATGAAACACCACGGGTGTCTCGCTGTCAAGGGGTACGTCGCCTACCACTAAATAAATAATTAACAGTAAAATACGACCATCCGTATCAAGTTTATGACTTAAGCCCATGTGGGTTAGTTCCACCACAATAAACCTAACCAGTTGAGCTACGCTAAACGCAATACAAACGCAAACAATTGCTATATCCTTCTTAAATATACTTCCTCCGTCTCAGGAATATAGTAACCAGAAACTAGATTGGACATCACATAGATACATTGTGTTATATGGTGTTTAATCTAGTTCTAATTTGCTATATTCTAAAACGGAGGAATTATCTAACTAATACATGATATGTCGCATCTGATAGCTATATTTTACGATGGAGCCAGTATATGCTCGTCACCCTTATCAATTGTATGCATATGCGCTCTTATAAGCAACTTCGAACGATTGAGACTAATAGACTTGAAATTAACGAAGTCACTATATCACACGTTGCCTGGCACCAAAAGAAAATCAGAAACTTGAACTTATGAGTTAGTGTAGCTAGTGCTGTGATATTGTGTACATGTGGGACGCATTTTTGTATTGGGGGGCTATAACTAAAAAGAGGGAAAGAATGCTGGTCACTTGTCTAAATTAATGTCACTTATCCATTAATTGCTATTCCCTCTTTAAACTTGAATAAGGTCCCCATGAGCCATGACATAACACCCCACTTGTGTAAGATTAATGTCATCAATGGATGACACTATGCCCATTGTCGTTGCATCACTTTAAAGCTTTGTTGAACAACCCTGACAACGTCCTTTTCCGTGAGATTTACACACGGCCGACCAAGACACACGTACGGCATATAGCTGCAGGACGAATTTGTAACGGTTAAATATCCTTAATAATCCATACCCGCATTAGCTACGATATATCCATCGAATCTAATGATCGATCTCCTCCTCCTCGTGAAGAAAGAAAAAGAAGAAGAAAAAGAAAAAAAAACAAACTACTCTCTCCATCCTAAAATATAAAAACCTAGGACTGGATGGAACATTTTCTAGTACAGTGAATTTGAATGGGTAGGAAATATCTCATCCAGTGTTAGGTTCTTACATTTTAGGACTGATGAAACACCTCTTAATAATTGATAAAAACGGTTTATATCTCCTGTCTTTATTACTGACACAGCCAAATAAAGCAACCTGGCTAATGTGATCATCGCTAGTACAATAGCACTCCCTCCGTTTCAAAATGTTTGACACCGTTGACTTTTTAGCACATGTTTGACCGTTCATCTTATTCAAAACAATTTGTGAAATATGTAAAACTATATGTGTACATGAAAGTATATTTAACAATAAATCAAATGATATGAAAAAAATAAATAATTACTTAAATTTTTTGAATAAGATGAATGGTCAAACACGTATTAAAAAGTCATCGGTATCAAATATTTTGAAACGAAGGGAGTACTAGTATTTACAGTAACTAGCAGTGATTAATCTGTAGACCATGCAACTAATCAACCCATAATAAGAGAGGCTGCCCTGCCCTGACCAAAACGGTGTAAAAGTCATTGGTTGTTGTGTTGTTTGGCAGTTCGGTGCCGTGTTGACGCAGACAAGTTTGCGCGGTAGTTGGTTGCAATTGCAATTAGCCTACTGCTACTTGATGACAAATAGTAGAACTGAATGGTCGTGTCAAACATACAGATCAACCAGGCAATTAATCGACAATTCGCCATTGGTCACCGAGATGAGCAGAGCAGCTGAGCCGGCAAGGCACAAGCATATGCAACGGCTGCAGGAGGAGGAAATCTAATGGTTGGTGAGAGATATGGGCAGCACAGTGTTCTCTGTACCTGCAGATTCACACTAGATCGGATGCTTCTGTCTCTGACAAATCTCGCTACTGCTCAGCCCAAGTAGGCCCCCTGATCTCTCGTGGCTGCAGGGCACAGCTGTGAAACATGGCGCCATTAGCTAGCTCAAATCTTGTTGTTACTGTGCCAATCCAGATCACGTACGAGTACACTGTTTGCTATAATTCTACAATTAAAGAGATATACTCCCTCCGTCCCAAAAAAAAAAAAGACAAACCCTGGTTTTCGTGTCCAACGTTTGACCGTCCGTCTTATTTAAAAAAAATATGAAAAAAATTAAAAAGACAAGTCACGCATAAAATATTTATCATGTTTTATCATCTAACAACAATAAAAATATGAATTATAAAAAAATTTCATATAAGACGGACAGTCAAAGTTGGACATGAAAACCCAGGGTTTGTCTTTTTTTTAGACGGAGGGAGTATAATTTTACTGCTCTGAAGTCTGAACTCGCTTCTAGCTTGAGGCTGAGGAAGAGCAGCTCTCTACTAAATTCAGCAAGTAGAAAGATTCAGAATAATGTTGTTACAGTCTCTAACTACACTGATCATATCCTGCGATAGCTTCATGGAGGATAATCCTATGCAGAAACAAATCTCGTCGATCGAGCGACAGTTGATCCAATCCATCCATCGAGAGTTTCAGATGTCCTACAGTTCACGCACAGAAGCATTCTTGTTGCTGGCCGGCTTGCTGAGATCTCATTTCAGAATGGGCAAAGCAGCAAAGATGCATAGCTAACAGGCTACCACTAGCACATATAAATAAGATCGGTGACAGACTGACAGTGTGTGTGTGCATCCATGGAGTCATGGACCCCAATGGCATCCATGGCGATTGGTCCCCTGATCAAGCAAGCTGCAGCTTCTCTCTTCTCTCTTCTCCTCTCAATTCTCATCTCAGCTCATGTGATCTTGCCTTCTCACAAAGCGATATCTCTCCCTCCTCCCTCCATGATAAGCATGCATGCAGCCCAGCTTAATTATTTTCTTGCAGCGGCTGCTTATTAGCTAGAGCAAAGGATTAGGACAGCAAATAGTAACTGTGAGCGACCAAAAGCAGATGGTTTGTTTAGCTAGCTCGATGGGCATGCATCTGTACTAAACAAATAACAATGAGGTGTAGTTGTCTGACCTAAGTTAATGATAATTTTAGCAAGCATCTTAATTTAAACACTGCAGCATAATGCCAGCATCTCTATGTCACTCTGTGTGTGTCTGGAAAGGTTGATGCCTGTCAGTTTTGCTAGTGACCTATCGTGTGATGATAATTAGGATTGATAAAGTTATGTCGCTTTTGACGCCGAATAGCAGCTTATGTGGCGATTATGTGCAGCCCTAGAGCAGTATTAAGGGTGTGTTCGCTACTCACCCTATTCACGGAAAACATAACAATCCATTAACATGTGATTAATTAAGCATTAATTATTTTTTTTCAAAAATGGATTAATTTAATTTTTTAAACAACTTTCATATAGAAACTTTTTCAAAAAAAATATACCGTTTAACAGTTTTAAAAGCGTGCGCGCGGAAAACGAGGGAGAGGGGTTGGGACAACTTATATTCTTTTGTTTTCCATATTTTTCAAAATAAGTACTACCTCCATCCCAAAATATAGCAATTTTTAGCTAAAAATGCTTATATTTTGAGACGGAGGGGGTATGTTTTTATAAAAAAAATAAAAAAGTTGCTCTAAGAAAAAAATATTTTTAACCAAACTATTAAACGGTGTGTTTTCTGTTAAAATACATACAAAAGTTGCTTAAATTTTACATTGATTTATTTTTAAGTTTTTTACTAATACTTAATTGATCACGCGTTAACGAGGTTTCTAGTCCCAAACAAACACAACATTACCGCTGGCTTGCTAACAAAGTTTATTTTTTGGACACAACTACACCGAGAGTACTAGCAGGATAGTGCTAAAGAGAGACACTATTCTTTCCAAAAGAAGCTACCAGTACACTCAATATCTATGTTTTTTTTTCTTTTTAGAGAAGTTTCTCTTAAAATACTTATCTGATTTATGATCCGATTATACCGTTGTGTTCGTTGCAATTAAATCTTTACAACAAAATCTTACATGATTATATTCTGATAATATACATACATATATATATATATATATATATATATATATATATATATATATATATATATATATATATATGTTGTAAGTTACTTTTATTATATATGTAAGTTACTTTTGTCATATATGTGATTTAAGCTCTTTAATAACTTATATATTTTAAATCACGTATTGTTTTTAGTATCTATTTGCGTCATTATGCTCTACATAAAATATGTGACAATACAAGATCCATATTGATATATATTCAAATATTTTATTAATTTAAAAGCAATGTATTTAAATTGCAGAAGTGATTTAGTTATACAATAGAAGTAACTTAGCTATACAATAGAAGTAACTTAGCTATGCAATAGAAATAAGTTTCTGTAGTAGAAGTAATTATATGCAACAGAATTAATTTAGTTATGTAATAGAAGTACTTCTAACTCTCTCTATAGTAGAAATAATAATTTACATAAATCATAAAAGTAACTTAGCATAAAATGCAAGTAAATTGTTATAACATTAGAAGTAAATTCGTTGTAGGAAAGAAAATATGGTCTATCGAAAAATTAAATTTAAAGTCCACAAATTACAGAATTTACTAAAAACAATAATACAAATAATCAATTTAGAGCATTATGAATGTATAAGAAGTAACTTAGTCAAATCTAAAAGTAATTTATATATATGATAAAAGTAACTTACATATATAATAAAAGTAATTTACAAACATAAATATTTTTTTCGTCGCAATATAATCATGTAAGATCTTGTTGTAAAGATTTAATTGTAATGAATACAATGGTGTAATCGGATTGTATATCGGATAAGTAATTTTAGAGAAAATTTTATAAGAAGGGTAAAAAGAAATTTTATATAGATGTGTAGGCATTTGTCTGTTGTCTCCCGTACAGATGTGTAGGCTTTCTCTGCTATGTACGTAGACTTTCTATACCGTCTCCTATTAAGACTAAACAGAGACTAAACAGAGAGGCCTCTCTGTTTAGATTTTACCTTATTTTTTATAGTTCCATACCTCATTGGATGCTTCCCAACTTCGACTAGTGTTCGGGGCTCAAGACCTAAGCGAATATCCCCGAAAAAAAAAAGGAAATACGAATATGTCCGTATTGGGCCAGCCCATAAGTACGGATGTTACATTTCCCCGTCTCATGGGCCACTTCGGGGCCCACATCGTACCAGGTGAAATGAAGATAATGGAACACAAAATACTGTATATACTTTTTAACAAATTGATCCTTTTCAAAAACTTATTTCGAAACTAGTCCCTGCAAAAAACTTCAATCAAAAATAGGCCGCGGACTCAGCGCCATGGACATTGGCGCTAAGCTATAACGTATCAGCGCCAACATCGTTGGCGCTAAACTCTAATCCGAGGTGACATGAATTCGCTGAGTCATCAGATCTTAGCGCCAAGGTATTTGGCGCTCAGGTTTAGACGATTTAAATAGATGCGGAGGCATTTATAGTAACACCCCATTGATAGCATAATGGTAGTAGAGTTCTACTCTATCCTTGAAGAGCAGGGTTTGACTCCCATCTCTCTTTTTTTTTCTTTCCTTTTAGTTTCCCTTTTTCTTCTCTCCCTCACTCATTATTAATATTTTTTTCTTTTTTATCTCGTTTTCTTTTTCTTTTTTTTCCTTTTAGTTTTCCCTTTTTCTTCTCTCCCTCACTCTTCCTTATAGTTTCCCTTTTTCTTCTCTCCCTCACTCATTATTAATATTTTTTTCTTTTTTTATCTCGTTTTCTTTTTCTTTTTTTTCCTTTTAGTTTTCCCTTTTTCTTCTCTCCCTCACTCTTTATTAATATATTTTTTCTTTTTTTATCTCGTTTTCTTTTTCTATGTTTATTTATTTATTTTCTTTTTTTTCTTGTAATACTATCTTCAAAATATATGTTTAATATGCAACTTTTTTTGAATTTGAAAAAAAATATTAAAGTGCTATATTATATGGAAAATGAGAACTTAAACTGAAATTTCAAATCAAATTCAAAATAAAACAAATTTACAAACGGAACAGTCATTTTGTAAAGAATAAGAGTGAGTATTAATATGTTTTTTCTTTTTTTTATCTCGTTTTCTTTTTCTATCTTTATTTATTTATTTTCTTTTTTTTGTCTTGTAATACTATCTTCAAAATATATGTTTAATATGAAACTTTTTTTAATTTAAAAAAATATTAAAGTGCTATATTATATGGCAAATGAGAACTTAAACTGAAATTTCAAATCAAATTCAAAATAAAACAAATTTACAAACGGAACAGTCATTTTGTAAAGAGAGTGAGTAGTGAAGAGAACAAAACTTATTAAAGAGAGTGAGTAGTGAAGAGAACAAAACTTATTTTGTAAAATACATGAGGGAAACCAGGATTCGATCCTAGTACCCTATGGATGACAGCCCAAGCATCCAACCACCACGCTATCACGGTCTTGGTTCTATATGTTGCTTGCGCGATTATTTAAACCGTCTGGACCTCAGTGCCAAATACCTTGGCGCTAAGATCTGATGACTCAGCGAATTCATATCACCACGGATTATAGTTTAGCGCCAATGTCCATGGCGCTGAGTCCATGGCCTATTTTTGATTAAAGTTTTTTGCAGAGACTAGTTTCAAAATAAGTTTTTAAAAATGACCAATTTATAAAAAAATCGGCTAAATTACTGTAGTACTACTTGGGTGACGCTCGATCCCAATACGAGTATTTATAAGATGATTTTAAAGCTACTCCACAAGTAGATAGGAGTAATAAATAAAAAAACACTTTGATTAACATCACTATATGATTTATTTTTCACAGTTTCGGAAGACAAATTAATTATCTTTGCACAGTTTCGCTGCACCACCACCCGATTCTATGTTCAGACAAAGGATATCACCAAATAAAAAAACTAAACCCATAAATGCATAGTAGAATCCAAACAATACTATATATTCGCATCAGACCGACATAGTACGTTGGACAAAAAAAAAAGAGTAAAATCTATACGATGTTATCCCGTTTGAACGAAATGATACCTTAAAAATATCGTATGATATCTGGTAAGTATCATCTTATCTGAACAGGTATCAACTGATACCTATCAAAAATCAAGTGCCTAGGTGATATCTTAGAGGTATCATTCAATCCGAACGAGATATCGTTCTACATTACTTCCACCGTTTCAGGTTATAAGACGTTTTAAGTATGATCAAAGTCAAATCATTTCAACTTTGACTAAGTTTATAGACAAATATAATAATGTTGATAATACTAAATAAGTTTCATCAAATCAATAATTAAATATAGTATTTTCATAATAAATTTGTTACTATTTTTTTCTACAAAGTTGATCAAACTATTTTAATTTTGACCAAAGTTAAAACATCTTAATCTGAAATGGAGGGAGCATTTTTCTTAAGAAGGAAACAAAGAAAAGTTACCATATAAAATTGTTTCAGAATTCAATTTTGATGCATGGTTTCCCCCATTTTGCATCGACCGAAAATCTCGTGATTTCGCGGCGGGCGGTACACGGCGCGGTGCGGTCTCCCTCTCGTCCAGCTTCAAAACAAACACACTTACCGTTACGACTCCAACGGCTACTTCCCTTTCAAATCCTTCCCCTTCCCAAGTCCCAGCCCTCTCCTCTCCTCTCTCTCTTCACCCGCAACTCGATCTCCAATTCTCTCTCTCTTTCTCTCGCATCGAATCCGAGTTCACATCTCCAAACCCTAGCGAGCTCTCTCTCTCGCAGATGGCGCCGCCGACGCCCTCTCCCCGGCCGGGGCCGCCGCCGACGCCGCAGGCGGCCATGACGACCCCGCTCAAGACGCCCGCATCCAAGCACCGCCTCCACTTCCCGGCCATGACGCCCAGGAACGGCGGCGGCGGGGGCGCCGCGGCGGGCGGCACGGAGCACCCGGTGGAGGTGATCGGCCGCATCCGGAACCTCGCCGCGGGGGCGGGCGGCGCGTCGGCGCTGGAGATCGCGGGCGGGGGCACGGCCGTGCGCGTCCGCGGCGACGCCGGCGGGTGCCGCGACTTCACCCTCGACGGGGTCTCGGTCTCCGAGGAGGAGGATCTGGAGGGGTTCTACCGCCGCTTCGTGCGGTCGCGGATCGAGGGGGTGCGGGTGGGCGCCAAGTGCACCGTCATGGTGTACGGCCCCACGGGCTCCGGGAAGAGCCACACCATGTTCGGCTGCGCCAAGCAGCCCGGGATCGTGTACCGCGCTCTCCGGGATATACTGGAAGGAGGAGGAGGAGGAGGGGGAGGTGTCTCTGGTGGTGGGGGTGAAGGCGATGGCCGTGGCGAGGATGACGCCGGGTTCGGGATGGGGCTGTTCGTGCAGGTTGCCGTGCTCGAGATCTACAACGAGGAGATCTACGATTTGCTCGTGGGGAGCGGAGCGAATGCTAAAGGAAACGCCCCCAAGGTGATACACCGAAACTAATTTTCCACATGCCATTATTAACTGTTAGTAATGCAGCTGCAATTTGCAATTGGGTTCATATGTGATGATGCCTAGTGCTTAGGAAATGTTATTAATTAAGATAGATGTGTGTTGAAGTTTGAAAGTTAACAGGTGGTGTCTGCTTTCTTACTGTCACTGTCCTTTTCAGTGAATCTTGCTTGTCAGTTATGAATCTGACATTTTTTTTAGGAGCGGATAATTACTTTAAGCTGAATTAAGTTGTTTTCTGGTGCTCGGATTGCAGCATTTTAGGGATAAACAAATGGTAATATGAAATTGGAAGCTGAAATACTTACTGTGAGCTGAAACAGGTTGTTTTTTGAGTGGATAATTACTGTAAGCTTAAATAGGAAGCTCATGGCTTGTAAGTTCCAAGGATTGGCATACTTATCATAGGTTTTAACATGATTTTCGGGAACATATGATGGACAGAAGATTTTAATAGTTTTAACTGCGTAACTTTGGAAATTTTCTATGGTGTTGAAGTTTCTCAGTCCTTACTCCTTACTTTATGTGCAGGCGAGGCTAGAAGTAATGGGGAAGAAAGCCAAGAATGCAACCTACATATCTGGAAATGAAGCCGGGAAGATATCAAGAGAAGTTGCAAAAGTGGAAAAGAGGCGTATTGTCAAGAGCACGCTTTGTAATGAGAGGAGTTCCCGGAGCCACTGCATGGTTAGTTGCACACTTGCGTTCTCGTATTGAGCTGTTAGCTCCTGGAATCTTCATTTCAAAAATGAACTCGCTATTGATAAGCTTCGCTTTACTTCTCTAGATAATTTTGGATGTTCCATCGGTGGGGGGAAGGCTCATGCTTGTGGATATGGCTGGTTCTGAGAACATAGAAGCAGCAGGCCAAACTGGATTTGAAGCCAAAATGCAGGTCTGTGATGTCACTAATGCCTGTATAATTTTGTACTTTCAGCAGGACGTTTTTAAAGTTACCCCTTCAACAATGAATACCTAATACAGAAGAATAATTAACACTGTTGTGTAATGAAAAATCTAAACATAACAGTTAACGGTCTGCAAAGCAGTGACCACATTGTAGGTTTTTTTTCTCCCTTTTTTTGAATGATAAAGTGATATTATCACAGTCACGCTGTTTTTAAGTACTTTAGGTACTACTATTATATTGTTTTTCTGCAACTTATTGTATGTGTTTGATAATTAAGTTCATAGTTTGTTTACATGATCATTACTGTTGAACAGACTGCAAAGATTAGCTACTAGTACTTTTTTTCCTGCAAATTATGTTATGTGTTCGATAACAGAAGTTCATATTTTGTTTACATTATTATTACTGTTGAACAGACTGCAAAGATTAACCAAGGGAACACGGCTTTGAAACGAGTGGTTGAGTCCATTGCTAATGGTGACTCCCATGTTCCATTTCGAGACAGCAAGCTCACAATGCTCTTGCAGGTACAAGATTCTAAAATTTCACATTCCTCGATACAAATTTATACTGTAAAATTAAAGCTGCTAACGTAATGCCTACGATCTTCCATGAATTTTCAGGATTCATTTGAGGATGACAAATCAAAAATCTTGATGATTCTCTGTGCAAGTCCTGACCCAAAGGAATTGCACAAGACAGTTTCTACATTGGAGTATGGTGCTAAAGCGAAGTGCATTATCCGTGCTGCCCACGCTGCAACCCCAAGGGACAAAATGAGCTCTGAAGAGTCATCTACAATGCTCAATTCAAGAATTGTCGCGATGAATCAGTTCATCTACAATCTCCAGAAAGAGAACAAGCTAAGGGAGAAAGAGCGCAATGAGGCCCAGAGTGTGCTAAGGAAAAAGGAAGAGGAGCTTGCACAGCTCAGGGCGAAGCTCAAGCTGATTGAAGGTCAGGGAGCAGCTGCAAAGGAGGAAGAGATTAACTCAAAGGTCATGGAGAAGACCCAGAGTTTGAGGACTGAGCTCATGAAGATGGAAGAGAAAATGCTTAGGCAGCAGCAAGAACTCCTTGCTTTGCAACAGCGGCTGAAGGAGGTTGAGCGTGAAAAGCCTGTGCAGCAGGATATCATCGGAGGTAGATTGCTGGCACGTCTGTCAGAGATGTCCGCTAGGGCGGATCAGTCCATGTCAATGGATATGTCCATTGATTTTGATATGGGAGATCAGCCAGCTGCGCAAGACGTGAAGGTGATCAAGGAGGATACTCGCAAGCAGGGCCAGATATGGAGCCAAGCAAATACTGCAGGCTCTTGCACCAGCGCTGTGGAGCAAGAAGATGATGTTGTGAGGCTGTCTGGGTACCCAGAAAAGGTGGTCCTGAGCACTGTCTTTGAGGAGGGAGATGAAGAAGAAGATAAAGACAGTGGCGTTGAAGAGGAAGTGTGCAAGGAAGTTGTCGAAGAGAGCTATGTAATGCAACAGCCCCTTGCAGAGCCTGAAGACCCTGCCACAAGGAATAACCGGATTCAGAACATTTTCAGGCTTTGTGGGAATCACCGAGAATTAGCCAAGAAGGTCCAGTCACCAGCAAAGAAGGCGTTCGGAGATGAGAACAATGAGCCTGCGAAGCAAACATTCGGAGATGAGAACAAGCAGCAGCCTGCGAAGCGAGTGTTTGGAGATGAGAACAAGGACCCTTCAGCATGGGGAGCGATAGAACCTCCAATGTGCGACGTCAGAGTGACCGACAGTCCAGTATCCTCGCAGCTTTCACCTATCGTCTGCCAAGTTGTGGACGATGCCAAGTTGCCCGTGTCGGAGCAGCTGAAATCATGCAATGCTTTGGAGGCAGCTGATGAGAACAAGGAGAACAATGCTTCTGGACAAGACGGCCTGCTTGAAGTCTACATCAAATGGGAGTCCGGCCATCTGATAAAAGGTCTGAAATTGCTGAGCAACTCGTGTCTTTCTGACCTGAGAAAGCTCTTGGAGGATCACTTCGAAGAAGCAGGGAGCAAGCAGCAGCAGCAGTTCACCTTCCTCCTTCTCGGGGTACGTCATCTAGCTCCTCTACTACTACCTATGCCATGCTTTCATCCAAGTGTTCTCTGCTACCTCTTCCTCCTTGCAATGTCATTCATCCACTATCACATCTTGCATTGGAGGATCGAATCTTGTCAGTGAAAACAAATAAGGAGAAATATGTGGGGATCTCTGATTTGGTGCAGGATCCTTCTGGCGCACCGGTGTCCAGAGAGAAGGAAGCAGGGGTGCCGATAAGCAAGCTGCCAAGCTGCAACAACCAGCCGAACAGCTACCTAGCCTGCTTGCGCGCTGTCAAGAAGCAGCCGGCGACGGAGCAGATGCCGTTCAGCCCACTGGAGAGCAAGCTCAATTCGGCACTGAACGACGTGCACCTCGCCGCCCTCTCGCCGAAGGTCAACCCAATGAGCCCTAACTACATCCGTGAGCTCAGAGCTTGAGCTCTTCCAACCTGAAGAAGATCGGTTAGATCTTTCGTAGGTTTGTCGCCGGTGGCATTTCAACGGTGGCAACGATGTATCATCATTTATCTATAGTCTGGCTCTGTTCTGTCTGTAAATTTGCTAGCTATAGGCTGGTTCTGCAAACCTAAACTCTGAAGTGTAACCATGTTACACGAGTGGCTGTGGCTAGACACTGCGGGTCATGCGTCTGTGGCCAACAAGGTGAATATGAATATGATTCGATTCGTTTACTTCTGCTGTGCTGCTGTTCTGTCTATTGCTTGGTCACTAGTACATTTCTATATTACTCCCTCCGTACTTAAAAAAAAACTCCAGATTCATAGTCCTACCCCTCCTAGATTCATAATCGTGCTACGACGTGATACATCATAGTACAATGAATCTGGACATAATCTATTAACAGTATTCGATTCATTGTATTAGGATGTGAGTATGTCTGTATTACCATTTTAGACCTGTTTGAATCTCAGCTTGATTTAGCTTTTCAATGACATATAAAACAAGAAAAACCATTAGTTCATTAATAATTGAGTATTAGTTATTACAAACTTTAAAAATATGTTTATTTGATTTTTCGAATAAACTTTGATAAAAAAAACTTTTTATAAAAAACATCATCATTTAACACAGTGGCGGATACAGCACTAAAATTTAGCTATGGCGGATCATCACACAAGGACGAAGTGCGTGGTATTTTAAAAATGATGTAACATTTTATTATACACAAACTATAATATGTTCGTACTTATTAGAATATATGCCATTAACGATGATTATAATCCTAAATTTGTCATGAAGTTTTTACAACTGAAGCCTTAAATTTGTTGTGTAACTTTTATGACTAAACCACATTTCTACGAGTGTTAAATTTGTTGTGTAACTTTTATGACTAAACCACATTTCTACGAGTGTTTTCCTGTTTTTTAGGTGTGTTTATTTATAAGTAGACATTCACTTAAGTTACATATCTATTTTTTAGCATTCGATTTTTACCGATTAACATTTTGTGGTTAGCTAGACTATTCATTCATTTGTGCAGACACAAGGCAGTCCCCCTATAGGTCTTTACCACCAGTTAACTAAACGAATAAGCTTGTACCAAATGAAATACAGCCAACTAATCATATAATTAGCATCTGAAATCAAGGCTGAGATGGTCATATGCTTGAATACCCTACCTACTTTGTAGGTATGGCCGGCGCCATCCCTTGCCACAAGAGAAGGTCCGCCACTGATTTAACAGTTTAAAAAACGTGCTAACGAAAAATGAGAAATTTGGAGTTTACACTAAAAAAAACTACACTGTGCATAGTTTGTGTAAATTCAAAACTGAAAATTTAGGTGGAGCTGTTCGTTGTTACTCCCAGGCCCATAAGTGAGAAATGGGCCAGGGCCCAGGGATGGAGTCGGCCCAAGGCCCAGTAGTCGTGTTTGGTGGGCAGTCGCGTGAGAAAATGAGAAGATACAAGTGCACGGAGGCTCTGACGCGGCGGAGACACAGCCAAGGGAAAAGAGTTCCCACTTCCCCCACCAAACTCCGCTCGGATCACCCACCGGCGGCGAGGCTGCGGAGATGGCCGGCGGCGAGGACGAAGGGTGGAGGAGGAGCGGCATCGAGGTGAGCGCACTGCAGTTCGACTACGACGGGCAGCCGCCGCTCTTCGCGCGGTTCAATCTCCGCATCGCCCCCGGCTCACGATGCCTCCTCATCGGCGCGAACGGATCAGGTTAGGTTTTGTTTGCCTAACCCTAACCCCTCCCATCAGCCGTGGTTCCTACGTAGTTTCGTCGATTTCCACTATTCGATGCTCCGGGCGAGCTCTTCTGATGGATTCGCGTGGATTGGTGGCTTTAGCTATAATATATAGGCTATCTTCACTCCGCGTGTCGTTTGGATTAGAATTAGATATAGATTGATCTATGGTTCCTCTATTCGTATTTTGAAGCAATTCGCGTGTATTACTGTATTTGTTTGCTAGTTGCAATACGGGTTTCTAGTGTGCCCTTTCGAATTTGAATGACCATGAATTTGTGTATGGTGTCACCCTTGATGTTTTGGAGTTCCGCATTCTGACGTTTCAGCCTTCTTCAAGGCAAGGTTGTTCTGCACTAGTGCTTGAGCAAAGTTGGAGCTAAAGCACAATCTCAATGGAATGCTTGTAGATACTAAGGTGAATAGGTGATAGGGGGAAAAATGGAGTTCAAACGAGTTATACTTTTTATTATATACTCAAGTTGTCATTGATAGTTGTGAGGCACCTATACATTGCTCTTGCAAATGCGAATAAGGGTGCTCTTTATCAAAAGAAATTCTCTCCTTTTTAAATCAATCACTGCACAATCATGTACAGTGCCTGTAATTGAGGCATGTTATGTTCTTATCTTCTGTAATCTATCATGCACATGCACACCTATATAATGTACCAACTTGTGCCAAACCACAGGCAAGACCACTCTCTTGAAGATTCTTGCGGGGAAACATATGGTTGGAGGAAGAGATGTTGTCCGTGTTCTTAATGGTTCTGCTTTTCATGACACACAGCTTGTGTGCAACGGTGACCTTTCCTACTTAGGTGGTTCATGGAGTCGGGCTATCGGTTCAGCTGTAAGTTTTCCTTTCTGTTTACTTTCTATAAGAAATAGAAATTAGTTCATCATTGATTTATATTTCTTCATGATCAATGTTTGTACAAGTGCATTTCTTGCTAACGTGCTTTTTCCAAGAAATTCATGGAAGCCATTCCCTACTTTTCACCAATGTTAGCTGAATAGTTATTTGTAACTTTGGTTCATTCTGTTTTACTTTCTTAGATTTTAGGGGTCTTTGACTCTGAAATGGTTTATGTGCTGTCCAAAATAATTATTAGAAGATTCATGTTTACTTAATTGATTTTTTTATTACATATGTGTGGAGTTTGATAACAGTAAATGGCATGACAATAGTAGACTACACATTGACAATTCATTCTTGCGTTTGCCTGGTTTCTCAGTGCAATTTATATGCATATAACACCCATGTAACTTTCTCAGGGTGACGTTCCTCTGCAAGGCGACTTCTCTGCTGAACACATGATTTTTGGAGGTACTGTATGCACAATAATGCTCCTCATATCCCATTGTCATTCTTGGGTTCTTATGGGATGAAAGCAATGATGTGCCTCACATACTCAGTGGTCCTTGAATTATTTGAAAACCCTGGAGGTTTCAATCCTTTCTTTCAGTTAACTTTCTGCTTGCATGTTTCTTTCTTCTTTTTTTGTTTAAATAGATGCTGCTCCTAGATTTGTTATTCAGTTTAGTCAAGCTTAATTAATGAAGTCAACCTTACTATAGTAAAAATGCTTTTAGCAGTTCATGCTGGTGTGGTAGATGTAAGCATGCCTTTTCTTTCTCTACCCTGAAACATGAGCAGTTGATGGGGTTGATCCTGTTAGGCGAGAGAAGCTTGTTGATCTACTAGATATTGATCTGCAATGGCGCATGCATAAAGTCTCAGATGGACAACGCCGCAGGGTACAAATCTGCATGGGTCTTCTTCATCCATACAAGGTGATACCGTGTTCCTAGTTTTCTGTTGTTTCTTTTATTTCATATGTAGCACCCTAAGAGTGACTCACAGACATAATAACTCTTGAGTGCTCCATCATACATTTGTAGTACGCCATAGTTATTGGCTCATTGCTGGGCTGAGTGCTCCCTGATATGATAATGGTATTGTGCCCCCAAAAGGGTAATAGCATTATTGCCTAGACTATTCTGAGAATTCACCCAACACATCATTTTAGTTTAAAGATAGAAAAACTACCTTATGTTTGGCTAGAGGTATTCTCATGGTTAAATTTGTGTTAGTGTAGTGCCAAAGACTGCTATGAAACTATGACACCTGAGATCAATACAGGTACTCTTGCTTGATGAAATCACCGTTGATCTTGATGTTGTGACTAGAATGGATCTCCTTGACTTCTTTAAGGAAGAGTGTGAACAGGTACAGTTTTTGTTCTTTCTATCTCTTCTGTCTGTTATGCTTCTCATTGCATAACATGGAAGGTTTCGGCACTGCAGAGAGAAGCAACCATTGTCTATGCCACTCATATATTTGATGGATTGGAATCATGGGCTACTGACATTGCATACATCCAAGAAGGTGAATTGAGAAAATCAGCAAAATACTCTGACGTTGAGGAGCTAAAGAGTGCCAAAAACTTGCTGTCAGTTGTCGAGTCATGGCTGCGATCTGAGACCAAACTCCCTAAGAAAGAACATCCCCGTCCTGAGACCCAGCCCAGGCGCTCCTCTCCATTTGATGCTTCACCGTTCCGATCTTCACGCCACATGGCCTACTACCGTTGATGATTGTTCCCACCTCTACACCTATTCTGGTGCTAATTAATCATACTTCCACAATTTGTTTCTGTTCTGTTTCTCATCCCTTTCTACGGCATTGTACCTAATATATAAATAAAGCGAACTTACCCTTGTGCCGATGAGCAGTGAGTACCCATCAAGTTCATTTCTGTACTTCTTTCTGATAATCTAATACTACATGAATTCAGTCCCTGTCATTCTTTAGAAAGGCTTGATGTACATTAAGAAATGGCCCCATTTATCACGAGAAAGTAATGTGTACCTGTCTTCTCAAGTACTAGCAACTTCACTGCTTATATGAATATATAAAACAGCTTAGGAGGCTTGTACGAGCTGATCAGGTATGGTAACCTTTTCTCCTTTGCTATCTGGTCAACTTTGGCTACCAGCTATTGCTTTAATTGTTGCTTTCCTTTGCATGTAGTATTGCATTACATTACATGTGCACTCCTGGAAGGAAGCCGCATGATAAGCATCAACTTGTGGAGGATGACAGGATGCGGTATCTCTGGCTGTGACCCATTGCTCGGTCTCTTGCCACTTGCCAGGTTCTCAGGTTTGCACATTCTTATTTGTTAATCTAATCCGTAATGTGTTCCAGATGATCATTTGGACACTATGCAGTCAGTAGGCAGGCATTGTCTTTTATCAACATGCTTATGTTGGCAATCATGTCTGATCCCCGTATAGCTAACTGCTCTCAGGCCATGCTGTCTAGTAGTGTCTACCATTGACTCATTAGTGATAATCATCACTGGGTTGGTAATCAAACCTGTGCAGACAATTCCAGCATATGCACCAGCATTTCTGAATTTTCTGTGACCCTGTACTTACGTACTAAGCTCGTGTACAGATAGATGCATTCTCCCCTCGCTGGTTAACTCGAAACTATTAATACGTGATGCCTGCTTGAGTCGAGTACATGAGCCGTACGGGATTTTGCAAGGATTGAATCTATATAAAGTTCAGAAGTTACCTAATTCCAACGTGGGACTTAATATTTCTGGAGTTTGAGCTCCGTGGTACACAGACCTGTTCCAAGTTCAAACTTCAATTCCCTGGTCGTCGGACCAGGTAACCCACGTTTAGTGAATTTTTTTTCAGAAGATGGATAGATTCATTTGTGCATCGATAACTGAGGCTTGTTAATTACTCCATGTCAAAGTATCTGATTATATATTTTTATCAAAGCGTCACGAGGAAAATATGTTTGGAATCGTTGGCGTGTGACTTGTTTCGTTTCGGTAAAAAAGAAAAAAAAAGGCGACGAGAAGAACGAGTTTGGCATGGAAGGGAAGCAACCGTGAAAATGCCGTACTCCGCCATACGATCGCCGCGTCCGTCAGCGGTCAACTGTCGCGCAGCACCGTCCATTCCAAAGAGGCCAGTAGGCGGATGGACGGCCCAGATCAGCCGTACTCCACCCAGGCGCCAGCTTTGCTCCTCCACGTCCGTAACCTGTCGCTATCTCAGCCGTCGGACACGGAGGATCAACGGCCGAGATGGGCCGCTATCCGCGTAGTTATTCCCGTGCGGAGTCGCTGGGGGGAAAGGGGGGGGGGGGGGGGGGCCAAGACGTGTCGGCCTCTACCTACCGTAGCGGGGCCCACCACGAGACAGCGTTTTATCCGGTAAAAAGGCTGGGAAAAAAAGATACACTGCTCTGCTACTTGCAACATTGGCCTCCCTCTTCTCTCTCTTTTATTTTTTTTCCTTTTTCAAGTCGCTTTTTATAAAATTGGCCATCTTTAATTATTGGCCACGTCATTTCGGCTGGTTTTCCTGTCTAGTCAGGGTCGAGGGCTCGATGGACGGTAGCATTATCCGCACGCAAAATGCCCCTAAGCTATCTCAACTTTTGTGTTTATGGGAAGTGGAAAAGATGTGGGATTCTTTTTCAGCACGATGTGAATTGGGAACAGCCTTTGTGGTACTACTTCCTTTTAAAATAGAAAAATTTAGGTTGTTTTAAGAAATATTTTTTAATCGTCTCGTTAGTTCAAATTTGAATTTTGTATTCTCTTCTCAAGCTTCTGATTAGTTTGAAATACTTATATTTTAATGTTCTATAAATGCTAAATATTTTGGTACAAAGTTTAAATTCTCAAAATAATTATATTTTAAAACAGAGTAAATAGTAGAAAGATTTCCGGGCCCATAACTAAATGAAAGGTTTTATATTTTTTTAGATTGGCTGTAAAATTATTATGTGATGGGAGGATGGCATATTGTTGTTTTGAACGATGTGGTGAGATTGGGTAGTAGGAATGGAATGATCCTGCAAATACCATAAGATGAAGACACAATTGTGCACAATCATTGATCATGTTCATTTCATATTATAAATCGGATTATTTATTTTACGCTTCGGAAAATATGCTTCCTTAAAAAACTTTCTTCTACTGTATTATTTATTTAGATCACCTATTTTAAATTATCTATCAAATTTATTTTTTAAAAAAATATTTAGTTTATCTCTATAGTCAAGTAGATAATCCGAGACAATAATTCACTTAGTAATCTAAATTAAAATGGTCCATCATCTCCGCCATGAGTTTCACTCTTCAAATATGGCGAGTTCCATCACAATCAATCATGCCATAACTTCTTGTATTTTATTAGGAGTTGTTGCCCCTAGACAATTTTTTCTCTACTATTCGTAAAATCTGATCCCGTCCTTGATACATTGACATGAGCACTCTCATCGCCAGTTTCATCAATTACAGAGAGTCCTTACCATGCTCGTGATTGCATCGTCGTCACCAAAATGGCTTATCCGCCTACGTATGTACAAGGTCGACACTATAAGGACATGTTTTCATCCGCCTATGACATGGCCACCATCTATCTCGGTGCTAGGGTTCTAGACATTGGTCCTACTCCAGAACCACTGAAGGCATAGGCGGAAAAAAAAAGACAATGTCCGTGAGCATAACATCCAACCAACCAAAAGGAATGATGTCGTTTAGCGGAGCAATTAAAACGAGTCAAACAAAACAGTTATAGAATAAATATTATATGACGTGGAACCAGATCATGTCGTATCCCATTTTGAGATCTATACGCACGTCAACCCTTATCCTAAGAATGCCCTATCCTACCTTTAGAAGCCACCTAAATACTCATATGATAACATATTTACACGCGCGAGTTTCAATTCTCACCGTACAAGGCATTCGAAGGAGTAGGATATTATGATTTTGATTTGTTTAGAGACACAAATGCACTCCTTTTATCAAAAGTGCAAAATAGATAGAGTTCAAGTATAATACTCTATAAGTTTCGTAAAAAAAAGATTCCCATACTTTTAATGTTTTTAATGCTACAATCAAAAGATAGTAATTCAAATCACAAATTGCTATGTCACAAACATAGAACAATTATCCTTTTGAGTCGGGTTTGTGCTACCGCTACTGCACTCTCAATTCCATCCTTAGTATTATGATATATACACAACAACATATTTTGTAGGCCATATAGAAAATCCTCGGTAGCTCCTAGCTCCGTCATAAACTTATATAAAGCAGTATCATTTAGTATAACACGAAATCATCATAAGATAATTTTGAAAGGAAGGTAATTATCACAAGATGCTACGCTATTAACTCGTGTTTCTGAACTTATTTTTCCCATATATCATAATCAAAATGAGAAGGAACACAAGCATTAGTTTTTGTTACCACGAAAAGCCCCGAACGTGTACATCACTTCCTTGTTTTAAGAGCACAACAAGCATGGTACGTTCAACCACTACTACAAGTCTACAACTAAAGATACTCCCCTTGTTTGAAGCAACTATTTTTGACCCTCCCCTTTCTTTTAAAGCTAAACAATTTGTTGGTGTTTTGTTTTGAGGCATTGTAAGGAAAAGGGGACCAAACAAACTGCTGCTACTATATGCGTACTACACCCATCACCATAACAAACAAGAAACAATAAAGTGCCAGAAAAAGAGAGAAAAGAAGAAGGAAAAGAAAAGAGCAACAAACCAAGATGGCCGCACCTGTCAATTACTTGTAAAAACGAAAAAAAAAAACAAACAACCTGCTCCCAGTTAATCAGTTTCTTTAATCGGGTGGTGTCTATTTACTAATCGTCCCCTCTCCTTCACTCTTTTTCTCTTGCTGGTCTCCGTCTTCGTCTTCTCCTCCTCCACCCTCTCTCTCTCTCTCTCTCTCTCTCTCTCTCCTCCCCTTTGTTCCGCCGCTTCCCCTCTCTCTCTACCTCTCGCGGCGAATTCGCCGAGAGGGCGCAGGGAATTTTATTAGGAGAAATCCCCTTTTTGTATCCGTTTCTCCGGATCCGCACACCTCCTGTTAATCCGCCGATTCTTCTTTGATTTGTTCATATTCGTTTTTTTTATTTTTTTCCCTTTGTTTGCCTTTTTATTCGTTCGATTGTGGGGGGAGGGAAGAGTTTGGTCGACCGGATTTCTTGGTGGTTTGCCTGGATCTGGCGTCCTAGAGGCCCTCGTGCCCGAATCCCGATTCGATTCGCCTCGGCGCGGCGCCGCTCGCCTCGACGGGTTTGGATCTCGGGGTGGGATTAGAGGGGAAAGGGGGGGGGGGGGCAGTTGATTCGTTTGGTTGAGACCATCGGAGCAGCAAGGAGATGGATCATGTAGTCGGGGGCAAGTTCAAGCTTGGAAAGAAGATCGGGAGTGGATCCTTCGGGGAGCTCTTCCTTGGTCAGTAGTCTATATCTTTCTCATGTTTATCTTTTCTGAAGAACATGTTATTATTATGTTTGGAAATGGAAGATGCTCACTTTGTTGATGTTTTCTTTTTTGTTTGCAGCTGTTAATGTGCAGACTGGAGAGGAAGTCGCCGTCAAATTGGTATTGGATTCTGTCCTCCATTTTCGATGCACCTAGAAGAGTTCTTTTTCTTTGGGGGAAGAATAATTTGATAAAATTTCTTATTTACCGTGAGATCATGGGATGGGAATGAACAGTGTAGTAAAATGTTTGTGTCGAATGTTGGTCCTTTGGTACTATTTTGGTACTATTGGGAATTTGGTTATAGTGAAACCTTTCAGACATTGGTGTTGCTGACCTGTTTGCTTTGGTCTCACAGGAAAATGTTAAGACGAAGCACCCACAGCTTCATTATGAGTCGAAGCTGTACATGCTTCTGCAGGGAGGAAGTAAGTTTGCGCCTAGAGCCTGTTAGCGTATCCGTTTTGTTGAAATGTTACTTTGTTATCGCCTTCTATGACTGTTATGATTGAGTTGACCTTCCTTTTTTCTTGGCTAAAGCTGGTATTCCGCACTTGAAGTGGTTTGGCGTGGAGGGAGAGTACAATGTGATGGTGATCGATCTTCTTGGGCCAAGCCTTGAGGACCTATTCAACTATTGCAGTAGGAAATTCTCGTTAAAGACTGTCCTCATGCTTGCTGATCAGATGGTGAGGACACTGATGCTTTATTTTCAAATTTCCTCAATCCATATATTCTAATTTGTTAATCGTTGTAGAATCAAACTGGTATCTGTATCTTGCCCTATATAGATTCCTGACGTAACACCATTTGTTCGTTATCCAGATCAATCGAGTTGAGTACATGCATCAGAAGGGATTTCTTCACCGTGATATCAAGCCTGATAATTTCCTTATGGGGCTTGGTAGGAAAGCCAATCAGGTTTGCGTTCCTACCTGGCTATTACCATTTTGTGTTTCTGCATGTTTAACCACATCAATAGTTTCATGGTATTCCATTTGATACAGTGGTGCCCTAACGCCTTAAATTTTTCGTAACTTGGTGCTCTTCATTGCTATGAAGGTCCAAAAAGATGTTCCAGTAGAATGATATGGCTTGGGTTTTAAGGGCCTGTTCACTTTGATGCCATTTTCAACCTTACCAAATTTTGGTAAAGTTACCAAAAAAGTAGCTACATTTAGTTTTCTACCAAATTTTGATAACTATATAAGAAATCCTACCAAAATTTTGGCAAGTTACCAAAATTTTGGCCAAAATTTGGTAAGGTTTTTTTGGCATCAAAGTGAACAGGCCCTAAATTAATGCTCTGATATCTGGTGAATTTAGTTAAAATACAACTGTGGTCTGTTAATAATAATTGTAGATAACTTGTGGGATAGAAAGAAACAAGATTTGGTTAGCAAATCTTGAATCCAGTTAATTTTGACTATTTTTGACCTTGTTTCAGGTATATATAATAGATTATGGGCTTGCGAAGAAATATAGGGACCTTCAGACTCACAAGCACATCCCATACAGGTTGGTGTACAACTTTAAATTACGCCTATGCCTACTGCATATGCTGTTGTTTTATTTGTTATCCAGCACAAAATTGTATAATGTTATAAGGACATTGGCAAATATCTCAATGCACTTCTCTTTTCACCTTTTTTATGTTGATGTCATGTTCATTATGCAGAGAGAACAAGAACCTCACTGGAACAGCTCGGTATGCAAGTGTCAATACCCATCTTGGTGTTGGTGAGTTTACTGTGTCTTCTAGCTGATGGAGTACATTTGATAAGAGCTTTTGCCTAATTTAAGTTTTATGTTCATACAGAGCAAAGCAGAAGAGATGATCTAGAATCTCTTGGTTATGTCCTTATGTACTTCCTTAGAGGCAGGTTGGTTTGTGATATTCAGCATTGCAGACATCTGGTTTTCTTGTAATGTTTTTGACATCATTTTCTGTAAACAATGCTAAATATTTGCTATCATTCAACTTCCAACAGCCTACCATGGCAGGGGCTGAAAGCAGGCACTAAGAAGCAGAAGTACGACAAAATAAGTGAGAAAAAGATGCTTACTCCTGTGGAGGTAATTCATGATATATACTTTTGGTATCTGCTCTTGTTTTTTTCAAAGATCAAACTGCATCAAACTGACACTTTTATATTGTTTTTTGAGCTAGGTTCTTTGCAAATCTTACCCATCAGAATTCATTTCTTACTTCCACTACTGCCGTTCATTGAGGTTTGAAGACAAGCCAGATTATTCTTACTTAAAGAGGCTATTCCGTGATCTCTTTATCCGGGAGGGTATGTTCTCTTAAACATAAATCCTTACCTCATGATCATAAATTGTACTTCTTTCCATCTTCCCTCAGTGTTTTTTTTAAACTGAGGATAAGTTCTGCACATTTCTAATGGCATCATTGATACAGGATATCAATTTGATTATGTATTTGACTGGACCATTTTGAAATATCCCCAGATAGGCTCCAAACCACTGATGAGGGTATGCATTCTGCTGTTATAATTATTGGACAATGCTCTCCTGTTTGATACACTTGATTTGACTTTGTTCTTCTTGTTGATTCAGCCAAGTGAAAGAACCAGTGGAGCTGCGGGACCTTCTATGGAGAAGATGGAAAAGGCCCCAGGTCTGTTCTTCCACCCATGAAAGACGCCTAACAAAACTATAATACAAACAATACAGCCCGTAAGAACATCTTATTTTAAGCAGGTGAAGCATCTGGCAGAAGGAATCCTACTGGTTCTTTGAATCAGAGTGACAATTATGCACAACGGCCGTCAATGTCACTAAAGGAAATCGTAAGTTGAATCCGTCCCCGCATGAACTTGAGATAGGAGTCCAGTTCCTATGCTGTATAATGTCTTCCCCTTGTGTATCTCTCCTACGTGTAATTTGACGATCATGAAATGGTTCACCTTCTCAGATGCATAGCACCGACCGGTCCGGCGAAAGGACCGTGGAAAGACCCCGTACATCCTCCCGTACAGGCAGTGCATCAAGGAGAGCGGTTGCGTCAAGCAGCAGGCCAGGTTCATCGGTGGAACCAATGGAGCAGCAATACAGCCGGACAAGCAGGTTGTTCTCAAGCAGTGGAAGCCGTCCTTCCAGCACGCAGAGGGTTAATCCATCGGTTGGAGAGACAAGGGCCACTTCTCTCTCACGAGCAGCCGTTGCAAGAGGGTCCCGCGACGAGCCTCTCCACCGCAGCCTGGAGCTGCTGTCCCTTGGTGGCGGTAAGAGGAAATAATATGGCAAGAGAAAGAGGAATCTCCACAACGGAAAGAGAAAGGAAGAAACGCTGTTTGCGACTCTGTAAATGACAGGATTATCACCTATTTGTCAACAGTTCACCAGGAGCATCCCATAATTTCATGGTGCTCCGGCCCTGTTGTATCATTGCTTCATAGATAGCAATAATTTGTTTTTGTTGTGTGTGTTCGCTGTTGCGTTAGGGCCAAGTCCTAGCTTTGTGATGATTAATTTAGAGGTGGTCAAGATTCAACATATTTATGTTTCTTTACCTTACCCCCCCTGGACTTGGCAACTTTTCCTGAGAGACAAGTATTCGTGTATCCCCCCCTTCTTATTCAACTCTGGATTTGCTTATTCAACAGAAGTTGATAAAAAGGATCTCCCCTGTGCAAAGCTCCCAGTCTCATTGTTGCGGCAACGTGGCTTGTCGGTGGTTATGGCAAAGAAAGTTGGCACACCTTCCTTCTTGTGTAAGCGTTATGATGAAGTTTGTAGTTCACACATCTTTCTGTTTGTGTTAACATTCTTTTTCCGGAGTTAATGAGGAAATATTTTTGGCCTGGGCTCCAAGAACGCACTTACGTGGGCCGGTAAATCTTCTGATGGGCCACAAAATTTTCCAAAACATTGGGCTCGGTCTCTGGGCCTCGGTAGCCTCGAGCTCGCACCACCTCACGCTTCACGCCTCCTCCACAGTCCACACACCGCGCCGCCGCCGTGGACTCGCCGCACCGTCCGCCGCGCCCTGCTCCGTCCTGCTCCGCCGCGCGCAGCCGCCTACACAAACCTCGCTCCGCCCCAAATCCAGTAGGAGAAGAAGAAGAAGGGGGGAATCCAGTAGCGTTTTGACCGGAAGAAGAAATTGAACAAAACGAGCTCCAACCCTAGGAGGTGCGAGGCGGCGGCGGCGGAGATGGAGGTGGTGGCGCTCGTCAGCGGCGGCAAGGACAGCTGCTTCGCCATGATGCGATGCCTGGACTATGGCCACAAGGCAAGGCAACGAACCGCAGCGCAACCCAATCACCCAGTTCTATTCTATCATCCGTTTTTCATTGACATGCTAATGCTTGCAGATTGTTGCGCTGGCCAACCTCATCCCCGAAGATGACGCCGTCGACGAGCTCGACAGCTACATGTATCAAACTGTATGCACTCCTCTCTTCACTCATCGTTAGCTGATTAGCAGCTGCTTCTAGCGCTGGGCTGTGGCCATTCGTTGCTGGTATTCTGTCAAATTCGCTGATTGCTATGCCTATTGTTGATGTGGCTGGAGGCTTCAGGTTGGGCACCAGATTGTCGTGAGTTATGCGAAATGCATGGGCTTGCCTCTGTTCCGGAGGCGCATCCGTGGATCCTCAAGGCAAGGCATCTGTGCAGGGATTGTCTTTATTGTTGTTATATGCTGCTACTGTTCTTATCTAGATGAAATTTGATGCAATTTCATTGATTGGACTTGCTTGTAGGGAGCAGGGTCTTAAATATAATGTTACCACAGGCGATGAAGTGGAGGATATGTTTGCGCTCTTGAGCGAGGTTAAAAGGCAAATCCCATCCATCACTGCAGTGTCTTCAGGCGCCATTGCGTCTGATTATCAGAGGCTTCGTGTTGAGAGTGTCTGCTCAAGGTTGGGCCTGGTATCGCTGGCGTATTTGTGGAAGCAGGATCAGACTTTGCTTCTTGATGAAATGGTAACTTCAATTTCATTTTTTCTTCTTCTGCATATTGTCTGGCATATCAGAAACTGTTTACTCAAATTACTAGTTCTGTTTTGGTTATTAATGTTTGCAGATAAGAAGGGGCATAGTAGCTATAATCGTCAAGGTATATACAGCACACTCATGCATTTGTTCTCTTGGTACATAATTTTTTTTAACTTCCTTGCAAGTATGTATTTAACTGTTTATCACATGGAATATCTGATGTTTGGACTTTATAGGTTGCCGCAATGGGGCTCAAACCTTCTGCTCACTTAGGGAAAGAACTGGCTGAACTTAAGTGTCATCTGCTCCAACTGAATGAGTATGTTCCCCACTGCCTACATAGATCCCATTTAGCCATTTTCCTCTTGGAGGTTTCATGTATTAGAAGACCTTGTATCCTGTTATAACTTGTGGGTTAATGACCCAGGCCTTAGCTTCTCGTAGTGATCAATGAGGGAGTGGTTTCCAAGAAACATATCACAACATATCGCTCTCTTTATGTCTGTTCTCATGATTTTCTTACTAATGGTCAATACTAGTCACTTGCATCTGTGCAGCTTGTAATTTCTCCTTTTGTTTTTCTATATCCCACTAGGAGTTATGGAATCAATGTCTGTGGTGAAGGTGGCGAATATGAAACACTAACTCTTGACTGCCCTCTATTCCGTGTAAGTTTAAGGAGATAAGAGCTGAATGTGAATAATCTGATGCCACTTGTCTGAACATGTGGACCAGTCCTTAAGCATGAATCACATTCAATGAAACGCTGTAACTTGGCTATTGACTATATTCTGAGCATGCTTATCAGATTTCTGAAGCATTTCATAATTTATACTACTATTATGTGCTATGTGCAGCAGAAGCATTTTGTTACCAAGATGGAACTGATGAGTTTCTTGTACTGCAGAATGCAAGAATTGTTCTTGATGATTTTGAAGTTATACTCCACTCGCCTGATTCCATCGCTCCAGTAGGAATTCTTCACCCGTTAAAATTTCATCTTGAACACAAGCCAAATTCTTTTGGCACCGTTGGTGATAGTGCTATTGCCCAAGAGAATTCTAGTTATTTGTATGAAGTAGATGGAGCTATTGCACACAGTGATGTCGAAAAGAAACAAGAGACCTTGAGTCCAGTTACAACTGTTGATGCTTGCACAAATATAGACCTATGCATCTCAAAGACTGGCAAAAAGTTGTTCTCCATTGGTTGTTGGATTCAGGATCCCTGTGGTACTTCAGAAGGTGCATGCTCTTGTGCCTTATTGTTCTGTGTAACATTAAATTGACCATAGTCCCGCCTGACAGGAATATCTCCTTTCTTTTGCATCTTCATTTGTGGGAAACGTCCATTTAATATCTCCTTATGTCTATAGGCCTGAAGACAGATCTAGTAGCAGTTTTGAGCAGAATCGAGAATCAGCTCAAGGAAGAAGGGTTAGGTTGGATGAATGTTCTGTATGTTCACCTCTTCATTTCAAGCATGAAGGAATTTGGATTGGCCAATGAAGTTTATGTGAGCTTTATTACTGAACAAAAATGCCCTCTGGGTGTTCCTTCACGTAGTACAGTTGAATTGCCACTAGTTCAGGTTGGTTTAGGCCATGCATATGTGGAAGTTCTAGTTACAAAGGAGCAAGTCAAGAGAGTTCTACATGTACAAAGCATTTCATGCTGGGCTCCTAGTTGCATCGGACCTTATAGCCAGGTAAGAGAAGCACTATGTGGTTATATGTCATGGGTATGTTGAAAGTTGTATGCTTCTATACAATATTCTACATAGAATTCATAAGCAAGGTTCCTGTAGATTAGTTGCTAGCCAAATCTACCAGTTCTTTTTTCTCCTCAGTTGTACATTCTCAGTGTTAAAGTTTTTTGAATTTTGCTTAGGCAACACTTCATGGAGAGATTCTCTATATGGCTGGTCAGCTGGGGCTTGATCCCCCTACGATGAAGCTCTGTCCTGGGGGCCCAACGGCTGAACTAGAATTCGCATTACGAAACAGTGAAGCTGTTGCTAATGCCTTTGGTTGCTCCATTTTTTCTTCGGCAATACACTTTCTGGTGTACTGTTCTGCACACTTGACGTCCAGTGAAAAAGAACAAGTTGAACATACACTTCGTAGTTCGTACATCACCAGTTTGGATTGCTCAAATACCGGATCATATCCCACCATTCTCTATGTATTTGCATCAGATCTTCCAAAAGGGTAAGGATATCCGTCATTCTATTTCTCAGAGAAATGCTTTAGTGCTGTCTGGACTCTCATACTTGAAGCACCACAATGTCAAGTGCTCTTCTTAAGTTAAGATAGACTTTTCCTCATTTTTTCAGAGCATACGTGGAGATAAAACCAATATTGTATGTCCCCAGTCCCACTAATGATGATGGAGTCCCAACCAGAGAACAGGAGGCTGGAGGGTCATTGCCAGCATCAAGCGAAGCTTTTAGTGCCTGGAGCGCACAATACTCTGACCTGGATGATTCATGCTGCCAGGTGCACACAATCGGTGGGAAAATTTGCTCTGCTGTTGTTTCAGTCACAAATGATATTGCATTGAAAATCTGTTCTACAACTGAACAACTATACCACTCGGAGGAGCATTTGAAAGCTTTGGCTAGATTTTGTGCATTCCAGCTTGCTAAGATTCTGATAGATAATGGCTTTTCCTGGGACAACCTAACGGTACGTATCTGTCCTGTAATCATTTTGCATCTGCCTTTTCCCGAACTCTAACCATCATCTCTGGGCTGAAATCTGCAGATGTTAAGATTCTACTATTCAGTAGAGCACCCAGTGACTGCGGATGTGATGTCCCGTGTATTTTCTGAGGCATTCGCCGAGCTTGAAGAAGGTGGTGTTGGTTCCTGCACACCTGATGGGGTTCCTATTTTCAACATCGTGCCAGTGTCGGCATCTGGTTGCTTCACATCGTTAAGCGACATTATATCATGCGAGCTATTAGCTTCGAAAGTTTAAGACAAGAACTTGGCTTGCGCATGTACGTGCATGATTTGTTTGGTACTCGCTGAAATGCAGTTCGTTTCTTTGGCCTTTTGGGAGGTTGGAGCCTTAGCATCTCCAGTCTAAGCCAGAACTTGGCTTGCACATGCATTAGGTAAACAATTGCGATAGAGTTAGCAGCGACATTTTTCTGTGGGTTTTATCATATGATACTACACTATATGATAGTACATACTATAAACATTGGGCCTGATTAGCGGTCCTGAAGCTTGCATTGACAATTTCGTACTGACCCCCAGTTACTAGTACATTGCTTCTTTATGCTTGATTGACCTTAGTTGCATGTTGGACGATCCATTCAGAGATTGGTGTGGAAAACTTCAACCGAATATTGTTCGGTAGTCAAGCAAGCACGCACGTCTATCCAAGTCAGGAGAGAGATAGCAGATATTCCGAAACCCAAGATCCAAGAAGTTGTTGTGCACTCGTGTTTACGATTATTAACGGAAGAATTCCAGATTATCTAACTAATGATTTTCTCTTCGAACCAACGGTTTACTAATTGAATAATCTAACAAAAATCTTTAAATAGTGTATCCTCAACAGTTCATTCCCTCAATCAGCCAACAGAAACGGCAACTACTAACAAACAAGTCCTAGAACGCTTATATAAAACGGAACAATCAAGAAAACTCATCAGTTTCGAAAGAGAAATATACGACCAGCTCAAGCTCGGACCGTCCATCTCAGCGACGAAGCCCTGATACAAACCAAGCAGCAGCAGCTGCTGCGCTTCTTTGTCTCCCCGTCTCTCTCCTCCCGACCCCCCAAATTTAGCCGTTACACCACCTTCCGTTCTCTCTCCTCTCTCTCTCTCTCTCTACGGCCAAGGATCTCAATCACAGAGAAGGCACATCATCAAACAAATCAGGAAAGGAAGGAAGAAAGGAGAGGAAAGGAGGGAGTGAAGAACAAATCTTGATTCGTCCTCACTGCGCACTGCCCCCCCGTCCGTGTGGTTCCAGCTGATCACCAGCAGCGGCCGGCGTCTTCTCGTCTCGATCCCTCCTGCCTCTTTGGCCGCGGCTCGATTTGGGCGGTCAAGATGAACAGGATGATGTTCATGGCGTGCTGCTACAACGATCCGGACATGCTCATCGATCCGGACACGGTCTACCCCATCCGCCCCGAGTGCCGCGAAGACGCCGCCAAGACGCGATTCAAGCCCAGGGTAATTGATTCATTCTATCCATTTCTAATTCTCCGTTTTAATCTAATTCCGCGTCCCCTATGCCCCCGTCCCCATTTTGACAGTGCCCATCTTGCGCTGGATTGGATCTAGTATCTAATTATCAACTGTTACTGTTACCTTTTTTTTTATCTTAACTGTTACTGTTACCTGGATGAGCTGAATTAGGCTCAGATGGCCAATCGATTGATCTTGCAAGATGATGAGGGCATTTAGTTTGAAGGTAGAATTTTGTTGTCTCAGATCGATTTGCCGAGCGGAAGCATCGAGGATTCTGACTAGCGAGATTAGTGCCAGCCATGTATTTGATTATGAAGTGCATTGACTCGTTGTGTGCTGTTTCCTCTTCCTTTTGGCAGCCTGGCCTCACTCTAAGTCCAAGGAGATGGAAGCTGCTTCACAATGAAGAAGGTGTCCTAGACATAGCTGGAATGATCAAAAGAGTGCAGCGTGGGGTGAGCTATACTTTTCGATTAATCCCTTGCATGCTCCGAACTAGCTGAATTTACGCCGTGATTGCACCACAGCGCCAGGCTAAATTATACTTTTTCAGAAAGTAGAATTATACTGTTATATGCTTAGAAATCAAATAACTAGTTTTTTTTATTATTCTGAGATTTTCAGTTATCCTACATTGTATTGATGTTGACTCTTCATTTTAATCTACACTAATATGGATCTGTTACACAATCAACAATGTGAACTATGAACTATTTATTTTTCTCCAATTAACATGGTAAATTGTAGCCTGATGAAGTGCAAATGTGGAGGCTAATATTTGCCTTGTTTTAATAATTTAGTAATATATAGATATTTGCAAAAATTCCTTCTCACTAACAACACAAGCCTAGGTCCGTATGTCAATGAGACAATGGTTGACAGATGATCCAAACATGATGGGACATCAGGAATTCCTCATTTTCTTCCTGCATTCATGAATCATGACCTCACACTAAGGCCTTGTTTATTTTGGTTGGCTAAACAGGGTACCCACCCAAATATCAAAGGAGAAGTTTGGGAGTTTTTGCTGGGTTGTTATGACCCTAAAAGCAATACTGAACAAAAGAGCCAATTAAGACAACAGCGAAGGTTCATTCTTAATTGCACCTTTATTGTTTGATCATGTATATTCATTCTAATATCTCATTCTAATTTTTTATAGGTTAGAATATGAGAAACTGAAAACAAAGTGCCGAGAAATGGACACGGCAGTCGGTAGCGGAAGGGTAATTACTATGCCTGTCATAACAGAAGATGGCCAGCCTATACAGGATCCTAACTCAGTTGATGCAGAACAACAAGCTAGTGACACACCCCTACCAAAGGAAGTAATTCAATGGAAGCTAACTCTGCACCAGATTGGTGAGTACTAATCCTCTCTTTTCAGCATCCCTCAATCCGTTTTATGTTTTTTTTTAAAAAAAAGAGAGAGTTCACTGGGCACATATTGTTATATTTTTTTATACTTTCATTGGTCTGATTATTCCACTATTCAACTATAGGTCTTGATGTTAATCGTACAGATCGTCAACTAGTCTATTATGAGAGCCAAGAGAACTTGGCCAGGTTGTGGGACATTCTTGCAGTTTATTCATGGGTTGACAAGGACATCGGTTATTGTCAAGGTGCGTTACAGAAGCAAAACTGATCCTTTTGCAAATCCAGTCATAGTAAAAGGAAAAGGAACACTTAACCATGTTAGCTTGCTAAATGTCATGTTATGTAAATTTTGCTGTTCCCCCCCATAAAATCCTCTTGTTTGTAAGCAGGAATGAGTGATCTTTGCTCACCAATGTCGATCCTCTTGGAACACGAAGCGGATGCGTTTTGGTGCTTTGAGCGACTTATGCGCAGGGTGGTAAGCACCTTTACACATGTAGCCTTTTATTCACTAAGAAATATCCAGATCCTTTACCCTAAGGGTCAGTGGCGGATCTAGAAATTTTATTGACCCCGGGCAAGCCACTGGCAGTACTGTACAAATGAAAATGAACTTGTACAACTCTACAGACCATTTTACCATTGACACAAGTAAAATTAACAGTACGAGTTGCAGTATATAAGCTGTGATGGCCTATAGGGCTCCATCGTTTGGCTTATTATAAGAATAAGCCAAACAACATATTTACAAACGAAAAATAATTTATGAATACAACTTTAATATACGTGCTCTTAGCGACCCAAAAGCAAAGGCTGAAAAATAAACTTTGATAAAAAAACCTCAAAATCAACTCTAAATTTAAGATTGAAAATTCAAATTTTGGCTAATAAGCATAAGCATAAGCAAAAAGATGGGGCTGATAGACTGCAAACATGTGATGGTGTGAGCCTTAATTATATGCTTTGCTAATTTTCTCAACTAATCTAGCATTCATTAAGGTAATTAATTAAAAAATATGCTAACTTTGCATGATTAATGAATTGCTAATCTACTGCAGCATCTTAGGCGGAGCCTGGGCATTTGCCATGGCTGGCTGGGCCTTGACTCCGCCGCTGCTAAGGGTACAATTTATACTTCCGATATATGATGTTAATTAAAAGTTGTGCACAACTGCAGTAATGTTACAGTAAACTTAAAAGGTCAATATGGTCGCTGTAATATGCAGAACCGTTTTCTGGAAATATTTTTGCAACTTAGCATGGCCTATCAAAACAATAATTGATATTGATATGAACTAATGAACATTATATGGGAAAAAAACCCCTAAGATTGATTATAGTGGTTTTGCTGCATGTGTTATCTGTCTCTGTTAATTTTTCTACAGATACTGAGAGATTGATATTGTACATGCTAACTCTGCAGCGAGGAAATTTCGTGAGTAGTTCAACCTCCATTGGAGTTCGATCTCAACTGACCATATTGTCATCCGTAATGAAAGCCGTTGATCCGAAGCTACATGAGCATTTAGGTAGAGTTGTTTGGAGCCAAATATTGTTCATTAGAATGGCCAAAGGAACAATGCCTTTTCTTTCTGAATTATTGAACTATAAGTAGCGTGATTTATTCCATGATCAAAAGATTATTTTTGCAGAAAATCTTGATGGAGGGGAATACTTATTTGCCTTCCGTATGCTGATGGTTCTTTTCCGAAGGGAGTTCTCTTTTGTAGACACAATGTACCTTTGGGAGGTAAGCTTCCCAACAAGGTCGCATAATTTAACCTTTTAGGTGTGTTGATTAGTTCCCTGCACCATAAGAATTTTCTTGACTTTTCAATTATTATCTCATGATTATCCTAATAAAGCATAATCAAAATGTGGTTTCTACTTACAATCAAGTATTGATTTGTACTGTGGAAGGTTTATAAGGCTGTTTCCTTGATTTACAAATGTTGCAGCTCATGTGGTCTATGGAGTACAATCCAGGTCTCTTTTCTATGTTGGAGAGTGATAACAGTACATCTCAAGCAAACACAAAAGATGAAAATGCCTTAAAGCAGTGTGGAAAATTCGAACAGAAAAACTTACAGGCGGCTAAAAAGGAAGAGCAGATACCTCTATCTGTGTTCATTGTGGCTAGTGTCATAGAGGCTAGAAACAAGCAGATACTGACTGATGCAAAAGGTCTAGACGATGTCGTGAAGGTCTCTCTCTCTCTCTCTCTCTCCATGTGTGTGTCATGAGATGATGATTGTAGAAAGCTATACACGATTATGTTGTTTATGTGCTTGTCCCCTGCAAACAGATATTAAACGATATCACTGGAAGTCTGGATGCAAAGAAGGCATGCAGAGGGGCACTGAAGATTCATGAGAGATACCTAACCACAGTAAGATTTCTGTTAATCCATTTGTATAATTATATGGCCTTAGACGCACTCAGGAGTCAGGAGTCAAAACTAAAATAACTCTCTACTTTCCTAAACTGCAGGTAAAAGCATGATAGTAGCATTTACAGATCCTTATTAATACATCTTAAGTGACGATATTCGATTGGGCTTTTTGTGAACTGGAGAAGCAGCTACATCGCAATTTTTCCCCATTTTTGATACGTGTGTGTATTATACAATTCTTTGATTTTCTTTGTAATACTACAAAAGAAAGGAACGCCAATCCTGTAAAGGTACATCACGAAATGTTTGGTATCGGTGGAATTATGCTGCAATAACATCGTCATGATTCTTCTTTCCTACTGTTCTTGACACTGCAATAAATTTGTTCACTATTTCTTAAGAATACAGTGAGTTAGGAAAAAGAAAATCAACTTGTTGGATTCCGACCATGTGTGTAAATATTGTTTAAAGGATTATTTTTCATTTTCTTTGTTGTAGCTTCCAGTGGACTAGAGACGGAAGTGGCAAAACAATTTGGCTACATTAAGAAACATGACCAGGCCGCTTGAAAGTCTTGATCGAAAAAGCTAAGAAACCTACGATAATCATACTATATATCAAAACATTTGCACCGATACTTTATCCGTTGTTTTCCACCGGACACTCCATACTGATTGAATCAAGTATTAGATCATTTTGCGCTGCTGAACTCAAGCTCCAATGCAAGCTTCGTTAACTACCTACGAAAGGATATGGGATATGATCGGAAATTGTCAAAATAAGAGGCAGATTGGCTTGTTAGCTAAATGACCCCTTTTTCATGTTCTGAGTTGTCCATCCCCGCCATTTGCGCTGCAGACCAGTTAAGCAAAACCAGGGCCTCACAAACTGCTGTATGTCAAAATGAACTTCAACCAAAAGGAGCCTAGACCAAAAATAGGGAACCATAAATAGATCGAGGCAACAAACTTTCTGCCCTTCCATTTCTCCAACTTGGAAGAGAGAATCTATGCTTGTTCCTGTTTGAGCTTTGGAAGGGATTGCAATTCCACTAAATTGTGATAGATCAAACAGCAATAGGTGAAGAGAATTGCTGCAGACACAATGAAGATGTCATAAAGAAGATGAAATTCGGTAGATCATGCTTCATCACCCTCTTAAATCTGCTTTGCAAGGTATGTGAGTCTGATTCAATTAGGCGCCACAAATTTGTGTGTGTCAAATAGAAACTGAACTTCAGAATGTTGAAAAGAACAAATATATACATTGCTGAATCTTCATCTTCCAGCAAATCATATTACGATAGACCACAATAGTTGTTTTGTTTTCAATGCTACGTGGTCGGTAGATGTAAATCTCACCCCAACACCTATAGCATTATCAACATTGTATTTTGACGAAACATTCAGATGGCTTTTCTCGTTTTTTTTATCTCTGTTCACGGTGGTATTTCATATTTGTAAAATCAAGCTTATGGTCAATAGGTTGTATCCCATTTCATAGAATTGTTAGTTCTTACTTTTGTTTTTTAAATGATATTGGCCCGGCGAAAAATTTGTAATGTTATTGCTTACTTGTGAAGGCTAGATCAAGGGACAAGGGGTGGAGGACAAACATATAAGTGGTGGATTCCTCGCAGAGCACCGCGGGCGGGCAGCCGCCTGTGGAACCGGTTAAGATGAAGGGCCTTCTCAAGGGCCTCCGATACATCTCACAAATTTTCGGTACGCCTCGAACACCATCAATTTCCAAGTCTAACGAATCCCTATTCCCCAATTCCCCAATCCAATTCACCTCAACATTGTTCATGCCACACATTGATAATTCATCATCATTCATCCACACAACGAAAATCAAAATGCATTACGGGATGGCGTTGTGAGAGATTGTGTACCTTGTCTGACGAACACGCGCATGCCCGCGCACGCTGGTGTTGTGGGGTTGGTTGCTTGCAGATCCGAGCGTGAAGGAGCCGGAGATGCAGATCGGGAACCCGACGGACGTGAAGCACGTCGCGCACATCGGCTGGGACAACGCCTCCGTCACCGCGCCCAGCTGGGTGATCGCCGCCGCCTTGCTCCTCCCCCCCGATCGCGCCATCTCCCATGTCTCTAACTGCTCCGATCACTGGTCGCAGATGAACGAGTTCAAGCCAACGGCGGGGGGCACGGAAGGCGGCGAGGCGGAGGAGAACCAAGGAGGAGGCGGCGGCAGAGCGGACCAGGCGGAGCGGCCGCGGCGGGCGGGGCGGGGCAAAGAGCGGCGCGACGGAGGCAGCGAGGGGTCGCGGCGGCCGCCGAAGACGGAGGTGGGGGAGAACAACTGCGAGGGAGAAGCCGCCGCGGGGGCGGCGCCGAAGCAGCGGCGGAGGAAGGCGAGGGCGTCGGGGGGCACCTCGTCGGGGCGGTCCAAGTCGTCGTCGGTAGGCGGCGGCGGCGGCCCCTCCGCGGCGGCGAGGCCGGCCGCGGCGGGGGATGACGACGGCGACAAGTGCTTCTGAGGCGACGCTGCAACGCGCGATCGCTCTCTCGTTGCTGATTTTTTTTTTTTTTTTGGCGTGGCAAGCACGAAACATATGGGGGGAGGATTTCGAATTTGTATTTGAGGTTTTCGTCTAGACTCCGGGCTGCTTGCAGGAGAAGCCATCAACTAGGAAGAATTTATATGGGCCTTTCTCTTTTCTTTTCTGATTTTTCTACATCATTTATTCCTTTATTTTGTACTTATTTTTGTGGCGTTAGAGTTTGTATATGTAATGTAGAGTTGGGCCGAGAAAACAAGTGACGGCCTGTCACGTTGTACTGTATACTAATGTTATAATGGGTCAAGTTGGGCCTCGGGCCGATCAGTTCATCCGCAAGCCGACCATATGGGCTTCTTGCTTCCATCACGGGCCATATGGGCCTTTTTTCCACGCCTGGTCCACATGCCTCTTGGGCTTACCTTTCCCCACATTTGCCCTCAGTAAGTTTATATTTCAGTGTACTCTAGTACTCTACCAAGCTGCCTCTGTGTGCATTTGTAAATTCTCTCTCTTTTTTACAGTATCTTCTTTTTGTGTTGCACCGTGTATTAGTTTTATTTTATACTTATTTGTATTATTTCAGAAATACCGATCATAGTGATCACTAATTGACTACTCCATATTGTAACTCCTCTCAATTTAAAAATGCCAGTTCATCATTTCGGGTCCTGTAGATGGAGACATGACGAAAACAAATATAGAAGATGCTAGATAGGTATCTGGTTGCATTCTATGTTCAGTTTGTCTGCACCTTGGTGATCAAGGACGGAGAAACTTAATTTTCAGTAAAATGAGAGAATATTACCATCTATGAAACAAAGAAGATTTGTCATTTGTCTTCTTCATTGCCAACAATGACAATACACCATCCTGGGGCAAGCCTCTGAACTGTAAATATCTTCATTCCACATTATTCCACATATTATAATCTTTTGTCCATGCTTGGTCATTTTCGTGCAAACATACATATACATCTGCTACATTAACATGACATTTACACCAATTATAGTGGGGCTGCTTAAGTGGCATCCACCTCAGATACAGTAGCAAGTTTCAGAATTTTCAGAAACAGATTATTCCCAAGAAGAAAAGGAACTTTCAGAAACAGTGGTCTATCCTGTTCTTTCAAATATATTCTCTGTTCACAGTATCCATCTAGCAGTACATCTCCTGCAACACTTTGGATTAGAAATCATTCAGCACATATATGAAAATTGAAGTGGGCCACTTGCATCCACCCTTTACGTCTTGCTGCACTCTGATAGCCTGAGTGCCTGACACCTGTTGCATTCCACTCATCGCCACTGTTACACTCGGAAGAGATTGTGTATTTGTGTGTAGATGCTGGTCAGCTGGTGCCTTGTTCCTTTCCTCTGTGATCGGTAACTCGTTTCTACTGAACCTGTGGGCTCTGTATACATATGACATAGATGCAGCAATTCAATGCTGAATTTGTAGCTTAATTGGATATGCAAATATGTGTTTCTTGCTAATTACTGAACTTTCAAAAAAATAAAATAAAACTGGCATCCAAATGTCATCGATTTCACTTTCACCACGAGCTCTGAACCAGCAGTTGCTTCTACTGGGAGGTACTGAACCGACCAAACTGAAAGATAGCGTTTTTGATTCTTATCGGCCAATAGAGAGCTGAAGTAGATGTCCCTGGACCACAGAGAGAGAGAGCATCATTTTCTCCTTGATTCGCTGTTGATCGATGTGCTACCATCTGTGTGATCGATCGATCTATCAATCGAATCGAGATCGAGTTGCTGTCGGCATTATTGTAGGGTAGTTCACCTACCGTTTTTCCTGCATATATCTACCTGGGTCTCAGCCCCTTCCCTCCCTTCTGAAATCGAGTGCTCAGCTGCCGCCGCATATTATTCAGAGATTAGTTCAGTATTCAGTCCACAGTGACGAGCATGTCCGTTTGCAACGCCGAGCCGGCAGTTCGCCGGACAGATCGGCGAGGATGATTCCATCCCCATCGGCATTGCACTTGCACCTGGCTGTATCTATATTAGAATCTGTGATCAGAAACACAGCAAGGCCTTTTGGCCATTTTCTGAACTCTGAATCGAATGGCAGGTTCAGTTTGGATCGACCCGTGAACCGTTTGTTGGTATCTGTGGATGGAGCATGATCCAGTGTGTGATCTTGCAGGCTAGCTGCTATCTTAGCTCTTGACTCTTTCCCAAGAGTGGTCGTTTTGGATTATCGCAAAGATTAGTTTAACAGTAATGATACTGTTTTGTACTGTTAGTGCCGCATGGGCATGCAGATGGATCTGGACCTAGATAGATAGATAGGAAATCGAGATTGCGTCGGTGATGGATGATCGCCATGGACGTCTCTTTCTCCCTTAACATCCATAGCTAATTAATCTTAATTAGGAGCTGGATTTGGATCGATCTTGAGCTTTAGGGCGATCGACGGAGATGGAAGCATCAAATCCCCCACACGTTTGTCGCTGGAGCGATCGCTGTGACTGAGCTCGCTCGATCGATCAGCTCGCGGTCTGGCTAATTAGTGGAGGGGATCAGATGCTGTCAACCTCTCCACATTTAATCTCTTCTCTTGCAGTTGGTGTCATTCTCCTTTCCCTCCTTTTCGGCGGCGAGATCGATCGATGGATCGATCGGCCGCGTCAGTTTTGGGGGTTTCTTGAAAGCAAATTAGCATTCAATACAGGGCAAAAAGGGTCACCAAGATCGATCAAATCAACTTATTCCTCGTGCATCCAAGGTTTAATTAACTGATAGTACTACCTTTATCCGAAAATATGGAGTAAGAAATGAGATATGGAGTACATTCTAATTCTGCAAATCTTGATAGAATTTCTATGATATGTCTCGTGTAATACTAGATTTTTATATTTCAAGACGGATAGAATACCAATTAATTAGTTAATTAAATTAATATATCATGGGCAAAGCAGGGGGGCGTGCATGCTCGACGCGCGGCTTGGCAGACAGACTGACGAGTTAGCTGAAACAGAATTGATACTAATAAAAATCTACATGATGGATTAGTGTGCTGATAGATCGGCCGTGATAGGGAGGCGAGGTTTGTCGCGAGGCGATGTCGAAGGAGCCTTGATTTTCACGAGGAAGAGATCGATCGATCGATCGATGAGAGAATAGGAAGAGAAATGAATCAAGGAAGAGGCAGGCGACCAATGGGAGGCGGACAGGTGGAGGGGTCAGTGTCCAGGCCTGGAAGCTAGGCATGCCATATGTGCGGTGCCATCCAACGATCGGATGATCCACCGGAGCTTACTTGCAGACAACCGTTTTCCCACCCCGTCAAGCTACCCACCCCCCCACCCCCATGCATATGCCACCACCTCCCTGTATCTCTGTATGTGTATGCGATACGCTCTACCCTCTCTCTGCCTCGTATCCACTACTCGGCATATACGTATACGTATATAACATGTGCGATGATGAGTTGTAGTACAATTCATCTTTCCTAATTTAATTCAATATACGTTTACTATTCTAAACTTTCAAGAGAATATTTCTCTTGTTATTTGCATGTAATCTAAATGCTTATAATTTATTTAGAAAACAAATCAACTAGATAGATTAATATGTAATATATCACTTCACAAACATGTAATAAAAAAATGAATTTGACTGTGAATATATGTTAGCTAGCTATATTTTTTTTCTCAACTTACATTTTTAACTTGCATGTTTGTGAAGTGATCTATCACATATTAATTCATCTTTTCAAATTATCTTATAACTATTTAAATGACATATAAATAAAGAGGAAATGCCCCCGTCGAGAGTTTAAATTCACTCCTCTATTTATACTGCCACAGTACCATAGAGAAGTAACTTTAATTTTCTATCATATACTAACTCATACATTAACAATTAAAGGTTATTTATCCTAATAATATATATACGGATAATAAAATGCTACCAATAAATACCACGGTAAACGTAGTCACAATGGTAATTGGCTAGTAATAATACTCTCTCTGACTTAAATGTAGTTCAAATTTAAAATATACGGATGCACTTATTTATGGTGCACTTATTTTATAATAGAGAAAATATTAAGAGCAAGAATAATAGTAGAGTTCATTAGTTTATCTTAAAGCTAACATATATAATAGAGATTAGCTATAAGGTTTGCTATAATTTTTTTTCTCCTCTTTCTATCTCTTACTTATACATTTGATATATTTGTCTTCAAGCTTATATTAAGCTAGCTCTTGTATGAGAGCTAACATCCTTAATTTTTTTACACCTCTCCTCCACGTAAGCTACTACCTCCGTTTCAGGTTATAAGACTTTCTAGCATTACCCACATTCATATAGATATTAATGAATCTAGACATACATATATGTCTAGATTCATTAACATATATATGAATGTTGATAATGCTAGAAAGTCTTATAATATGAAACGGAGGAAGTAGCTTACAGTAGGTTTATACTCCCTCCGTTCCAAAAAAAAAACTCAATCTAGGAGAGGATTTGACCGCTCCTAGTATAACTATCTTTTATCTAGATTTGTTGTTTTAGGAGGGGTCACATTATTTGAGATTGAGTTTTTTTAGACGGAGGGAGTAGCTCACATTATCCTTGCTCTAATTAAGCGTGCTAATCTGTATGCATGCATACGGGTTAACATTAGGACGCGTGCCTTGCTGCAAAGTGTAGTATAGTACGAGGTCGCTGTCTAGGAGGGAATATTTGCTGACGACGAGTCGTATCAATCATTGCGGCTGCCTGCCACACGGCCTCGCCGCACGCCTCCTCCGACCTCTCCTTCACCACCGCCTCTGCTCCCCGCCCGGCCGCGTCCTCGTCTCCTCTTGCTACTTCTGCATCCATGGCAGATGGCACAAGTTTAAACCTCTCAGGTTAACTTAGGGTCTGTTTACATCTCCTGATAAAAATTTTCGCTATGTCACATCGAATGTTTCAATATATGCATGAAGTATTAAATATAAGTTAAAAAATAAATAATTGCACAGATTACGACTAATTTACGAGACAAATATTTTAAGCCTAATTACTTTATGATCTGACAATGTGGTGCTACAGTAAACATTTTGCTAATGATGAATTAATTAGGTTTAATAAATTCGTCTCGCAGTTTACAGGCGGAATCTATAATTTGTTTTGTTATTAGTCTATATTTAATACTTTAAATGTGTGTCCGTATATCCAATGTGACACGCCAAAACTTTTCACCGCTGGAACTAAACACAGCCTTAGTTACTACTACTACCTCCTGAAAGATCAGACTGACTACTTGTTATACAGATATATATTTGCTTTCATTAATTCCTGAACAAAATGAA